ATTTTTTTATTTTTTTATTTTATATATATTCATATTTGAGATTTATAAAAGTACAGCGTCCACTGATTGAACATAATGTCGATAGGCATATTATAATATTGCCTGTCTTATTACCACTTTTCGTTATTGTTTTACCATTTGTTTTTAATTAAAAAAAATTGCCTACATTACTTTGTTCAGCTCGCCAATACTTAGTACTGTTTTAGAAGATACAGAATGTCTTTAGTTTGTATTAATTTTAATTTTTCTTCAGTGAATATCTTATGTCTTACATTAATCAATGCCATGAATTTTAAGTCTCCTTGTATGCTTATCAAAGTATTCCTTCTCTAATATTGCAGTTGATCAAAGACAATAATATTTGTTAGAATATATTTTACTATTGCCGGGGATGGCACCTTTAGCCCCATCCTTGGCGGCGACAGTTAACAGGAAAATCATGCTTGCAAACTTACACTTCCGCACTCCAAACCGTGCCACCATGTGCCTCAAGTGGTAATCCCACTATTCCATGCGCTTTCACGCGCACCAGCGGTAATCCCACACCTTAACGTGTCAGATCAGCTCAGTTATCGCACCACCATGCGCCATTAATGGTCATCATGCGTTCACATGCGCCTTCAACCTATTCACGCTTTGCATCTACCTCCAAGATCTTCACAGATCCACCTTATATCACCTAACATATCAACATCAGTCCAACGTTAGACACATTTTGCAATGGCGCCAGTAGTTATACCAAGTCACCTACCACGTCAGTTGCCATACATCAGAGGTGTCATCAGTAGTGCCAAGTCACTTGCCACTTCAGTTGCCATGTCATCAACCACGTTAGCATCGGTGCCACGTCAGCTACATCAGGGTGAAATGATTATCTTCAAACTCAAGATAGTTTCATATAACCCAACTTGACTTTGAGGGGGTTGTTAGAATATTTTCTATAATATATTGTTACTATGTATTGTTAGAATATATTTTATAATATATCATTACCATATATAGCATTATCTTATATGGTAGCTGTCTTAACCTACCCTCATTACCATATATAGCATTACTTTATATGGTAGTTGTCTTAACATACCCTCATTCCATATATAGCATTACCTTATATGGTAATGACTTACTCTCCACACATGACCTTTTCTATATAAACCCCCATGTATTCTTGCATTACACATTTTATTTAATATTAATACAATACAGAGTTATATTCTTTCTTTTATATTTAACATGGTATTCGATCTCTGGTAAACAATCTACTAGTTTATCATACTCACCGTTGGGGATGGCACCATTAGCCCCATCCTCGGCTGTTGCGATCAACCGGCAAATCATGCTTGCAAACTCACGCTTCCGCATTCCAAACCGCGCCACCATGCGCCTTAAGCCACTCTTCCATGCGCTTTCACACCCACCAGCGGTAATTCCGTACCTCAATGTGTCAAATCAGCTCCGTCCCCACGCCACCACGTGCCATTAGTGGTCATCAAGCACTCACACACGCCTTCAACCTATTCATGCTCCGCACCTACCCCAAGATCTTCATAGATCCACCTTACGTCACTTGACATATTAGCATCGGTCCAACGTTAAACACATTCTGTAACGGTGCCAATAGTTGTGCCTAGTCACTTACCACCTCAGTTGTCACACAACAGAGGTATTAGCAGAATTGCCGAGTCACCTGCCACTTCAGTTGTCATGTCATTAACCACGTTAGCAACAATGCCACGTCAGCAACATAAGGGTGAAATGATTATCTTTAAACTCAAGATGGTTTCATATAACCTATCTTGACTTTGAGGGGGACTGTTATAATATATTCTATAATATATTGCTATCATGTATTGTTAGAATATATTCTATAATATATCATTACCATATATAGCATTACCTTATATATGGTAGCTGTCTTAACTTACCCTCATTACCATATATAGCATTACCTTATATGATAATGACTTGTTTTTCACACATAACCTCTTCTATATAAACCCCATGTACTCTTGTATCACATATTATACATCAATACAATACAGAGTTCTATATTCTCTCATTTTTATCTAACAATCTTAAATTACCATCAAAGATTGTCCTCCACGGTAAGACATAGACCTTAAAAGTAGTTATGTGGAGTAATAGGCGGACATGGATCCGTGAGTGGAAAGCAGTTTGCAAATGGCACAATCTGCGGGAGAATGACAAGTGCATTTGTGAATTTTTGCTAGGAAGAGACGGAGGGAGCACTTTCTTACCGATTCAAGTCATTCCAGTAGAATCGTTTCATCTTAAGATATTACTTAATCAAATTTACTTATATTAACATAATAACACCATTGATCTGCAAAACTAACCACATTAATTTTGATATGTGACGTGGTTGAAAAAGATTAGTATCACACATTTAGTTACATAAACAAATTGAGTTAAAAAAAAAAAAACCATAGATAAGAGAAAATGATAATAGATTGTTAGAAGAAAATTGAGAAGTTTGAGGGTTATATAGTAATCAACCTTTTCAAAAATTCAATTTGGGAAAAATTGTACTCCAATAGGTTTATTTTTGCTTAAGGAATGGAATGAAACTCTCTTTCTCAAATTTATCATTTAAGCTTCTTACAAAATATATATATATACTAAGATTTCTTTTGGCAAAAATCATTTAGTAATCTTTAAATAAGAAAAAAAATAGTTTAGAAAACTCTAAATAGGTAGAATGATGGTTTTGCTATAGTAGGAAAGTATAAATGTAAACTTGTAATATAATCTTAGGTAGATGGTTTTGCTTAGTAGATCTTAAACCCATTATTGTATTCAAAACCATATAAAGAGACGAAATCTTAAAGTAATTTATATAATTTAATTTATAAAATTTGGAAAGAATTATCGTTATTATTTTTGACTCAAATTTTCAAATAGATATATGGAAAGAATTGGCACAAATTTTATTATTATTATTATTATTATTTCTTAATTGACACTCATTATTAATTAGCAAATAATAGAAGAGAGAGAAGAAAGAGAACCCTATAAATTTTGAGAATCTTTTGAGTCCATTTAACGGTTAACAATCAGCATTGGAAAGGCAATTAAATTACGGATTACTTAACTTATACACTAAACGAAAGTCGGTTTTACTGGAAAGTTCAACCATTATCCTATATTATCTCCTCATCTAAACTCTAATTAGTCCACATTAAACCAATTGATCAACTTACCAAACTGGGGAAAAAGTGTAAAAAGGTGCACCCTTTATCTCTCTGCCACGTGGAACAACTCATTCCTCTACATCCAATACTAGTTGTTGACTTGTGTGCACCCGCGGCTTTGAGACGGCAGTATCAATTTATCACCATATCATGGGGGTCCCACTAAGTTATACTCATCACTTTATATACTTTAATTTTTAAAATGCAAAAAAATCAAATTTAAGGAACTATGACATACATATTTGAAATAAATTTCATATTGAGACAGTTAAAAAAGCATTAATTTGTTGAAAGATTTTTTATATTTATTGAGAGATTTCCACACAAATAAGTACAAACAAAATTTTAGATTATGAATAAATTAGTTCTATAATAAAGAATTACACAAGCAATGTAATGTTATTAAATAATTTTCTTAATTATAAATATAGTTATAATAAAAAATTAAATATTAAACGAAAATATAATAGACTAAATCTAAATTTCAAATTTACTTATATTATCATAATAACACCATTGATCCACAAATATGTGACGGGTTGAAAAAAATGAATCTAACACATTTAATTAAATAAGCAAATCGAGTTAAAATTAGTTACATATTGATCGACATTAATTCAATGAACAAAATTTAATTCCTAAAAAGAATTATTAATCCTGCTTAGGTTGATTCTTGCTCAACCCAATTTGTGAGCAGATGGGAGAATTAATTACTGCTAAAGTTATCGACAATTGTGTGTTTTCCACGTGTCATAAAAGTTGCCCACGTGGAATGAAATTTGATGATTTTTCTCGTCAAGCCACATTTGTCTCTGTCATGTTGGTTGTTCTCAGAAGGTGTGATAGGTGGTGATGGTGAAAAAAATCAAGCAAAATAGTTGTAGTTGTTACCATGTGGCACAACGTATGATCCAAATAACATTAATATGGGAAATTATCCACTACACCCTTCACCTACACTTTGAAGTCGGCGACCTTATATTATTGGTCTAATGATTTATTGCAAAATAGTATTTTAGGGTCGAGAAAGTTTAAGAATATTTTGAAGTATTGTAAACGGGGTACTCCGTCACTAGCTAGACGAATATAATCCCGATGAAAAATTAAGAGTTTTTATGTCGGCTGAGCCTGAGAGCATCACATATTAGATTAATTATACTATTTATTTAATGGGACTCAAATAAATTTAGATGAAAAATGATGAGAAAAAAAAACAAATCATAGATAAGGGAAAATGATAATAGATTGTTAGAAGAAAATTGAGGGTTATATAGTAATCATCCTCTCATGGAGCCAAAAATATATATATGCTAAAATATTGTTTGATAATATCAATTTAGTAATATTTAAATAAGGAAAAAAATGGTTTAGAAAATTCTAAATAGGTAGAATAATGGTTTTGCTATATTAGGAAAGTAAAAATATAAACTTATAATATAATTATTAAATTTAATCTAATAATAATCTGTAGAAAATTTCTTATTATAAGAAATCACTACTATATATATATATATATATATCATATGAGCCAGTTACCCAAATAAATATATACATAAGTGATAAGATGTCTAATTATAAGAAGACAAAGTTGCTTCCTTCATTTTACATTAAACAGTTCTATTTCTAGAAATTTCAAGGAGAAACAATACTGACCGTCGGATGAAATCATAGTCACATGCAAAGTTCGATATATTAGGACAAAAAATAATGGATGGATCTCCTTCTGGATTCCAATTCCATTTTCAAACTTCACGACATCGTTTTAGTATATTAGTCCCTGTATCTATTAAATACTGCCTTGAAACATGTACCTCCTAGACTCATCCACAACTTTCGGGATTTAATTTCCATTAATATATTATTTTATTATTATTATTATTATTTTTTCCATTTTCCAAACCCACCAACGTCTATATAACAACCATCTCTGCCTCTTCACCTCAAACCAACTGATAAACATCCCATTTTTCTCACTCCAAGTTTTCAAAACTTCCCTCTCTAATGGCTCCTAATCTACTTAGTGCCACCACCAACACCACCACAGGTCTAGCCAAGGCCGCTAGTCTTTCTAGCCGTGCCTATCTAACTTTCTTGGCGGGTACCGGTGACTACTGGAAGGGTGTGGTGGGTCTGGCCAAGGGCCTGAGGAAGGCCAAAAGTGCCTACCCTCTGGTGGTGGCGGTGTTGCCGGATGTGCCGGAGGATCACCGCCGCATACTAGTGTCTCAGGGCTGTATAGTCCGTGACATCGAGCCTGTATACCCGCCCGAGAACAAAACCCAATTCTCTATGGCCTATTATGTCATCAACTATTCCAAACTCCGCATTTGGGAGGTAATTCTTTATCTTACACATAAATATAAGACATGTTGGTTGAGTTTTTAAAATTTAATTTTTCATTTTCATTAAATTGGAACATAAAATGGTGTTGTGGTTTTTGAAAACTGTTTTTTGAGTTTTTCTGAACTGTTTTGAAAAAGCAGTTTGTGGAGTACAGTAAGATGATATATTTGGACGGAGACATACAAGTGTTTGGCAACATCGACCACCTCTTCGACATGCCAAATGGCCACTTGTACGCAGTGATGGATTGCTTTTGTGAGAAGACTTGGAGTCATACCCCTCAGTACGAGATTAGGTACTGCCAACAGTGCCCAAACAAGGTCCAGTGGCCTGCTGAGTTGGGCCCAAAGCCACCGCTCTACTTCAACGCTGGAATGTTTGTTTTTGAGCCCAGTCTCTCCACCTACGATGACCTTTTGAGGACCCTCAAAATTACCCCTCCTACCCCTTTTGCCGAGCAGGTATTTTCCACACTCCCAAGGCTATTTATGTCATTTCGAGTCTTACCGTATGATGACGTCACGGATTGCATTATTTTGCAGGACTTTTTGAACATGTTCTTTAGGGATATTTACAAGCCTATCCCTTCGGCGTATAACCTCGTGTTGGCCATGCTGTGGCGTCACCCGGAAAACGTTGAGCTTGAAGAAGTGAAAGTTGTTCACTATTGTGCTGCCGTGAGTGATTAAAATATTAATAGAATGTTTAACTTCTAATCCATTGATTAATTATCAAATAATTTTTGGGTTTAAATCATAAAACTCTCATTACTTTAATTTTTTCATCATAAAATCCCAAACTGCTTGTAAAAACTCCAACACGATTACAAAGTTGTCACTTTGCCCTAATTTTGTGTTTGGGACGTTAACTGCGTGCGTGCTTAACAAGTGTTTTGGCAATCAAAATTTAGTGACGAAAATACCCATTAAAATACTCTTGGCTGAACATTTGCCAAACAGTTTTTATGATTATAAGAGTAATTTAGTCATTTTACAAACCCTATCATGATTTAATTCCTTAATTTTCTTAATTTTTTTGTTTTGGTGAGTTTATTAAGGGGTAAATTTGTCATTTTGTGGTAATAATTAGGGATCAAAGCCTTGGAGGTACACAGGGAAAGAGGAGCACATGGATAGGGAGGACATAAAGATGCTGGTGGATAAATGGTGGGATATATATAATGACGAGACTTTGGACTTCAAGAGGAGTAATGTGGCGGCGGCGGCAGTTGATGGTGGTGAAGCTGAAGATGAAGGTGTAAGGAAAATAATGGCGGCGTTATCGGAGGCTGGTGGTGTTCAATACATTACCGCCCCATCCGCTGCTTAGTTTAGTTTTAGGGCTTTTTTAGTTCTTTGGTGTTGGTGGTGGTTTTTTTTTTTTTTTTTTGGGGTTCTTGGGGTTTGGTTTGTTTATCAAAAGGTTCAATCAATTGGGATTCTGAATATAGAAGTCCAGAAGTTGGATGTTAATCACAATTGTTAATGTATTGATGGATAATTAATATTTTGTTGATGTCTTCACTAATGCGATTTATGTTTCAACTTTATCTCAACTTCTTAAGACTGATTATGACTATTTATTTTTATTTATTTATTTATTTTTGTTGAGAAAATTACAATATTATAGCAAATAGAGCTATTTTTATTGTTAATATAGTAGAAGATGTAAAAACAAGAAATGTCATTTATTAAGGATCTCATATCCTCTTGGATAGTAGGATAGTTGGGTAATATGAAGTATTGGAATATTCTATGTTCTTTTTATTTTTTTTATTATTATTTTTTTTGATCTCTAGTTGTTGTTTGTTTACTTCTTCAATCAATTATAAAAAAGAACCTTAAACGTTGGTGCCCTGAATTATTATTAGTTAGTCAAATTAATTTTTAATTATCTATTTTATTATATTAAAATTATAGGATAATTTTAAGGAGGATATTTTGGTATTTTGAAATAAAAGTGTGAGGATATTTTGGACCTGAGCAATAAATGTTAATGTATTTGTAATTATTTTGCTTAATCAAATTAAAATAGAAAATTAACTTTTAAAACTGATTTGTTATTTAGGGCTCCAAACTTTATCTGTATGTAGTTTTCCCTTGATTTAAACTTCTGGGAAAAATGATCTAGAAATAATTTTTTTTGAAAATTCTAGTTTGGAGGCGACTAAATTCCTTGAAGATAGTCAACATTTCCACAAGGTGCAATGGATCATGACCCTATTTTCAAAATTCAACCAAATCTAATACATTATTGGGCGCAATACTTAATTCTCTTTTCAAAATATCCCAAGTATAAAAATCAAAAGAGAGAACTTTTACAATTTGAGAGAAAATATTTGAATATAAGTTGCCAAGTTGGGATTGAAATTCTCCATGATTGATTAAGGAAAATACTATAGGTTTTATTTTATATTGAATTAAGGAAAATGCTATAGGTTTGATTTTATATTGAATTATGTGGTTGCTTATTTATCAGTTTATTTGGTTGTTTTGTATATTTTTAAAGTAATTTTTTTTTAATATAGGAAAGATTTTAATATAGAAAAAAAAAAATAGAAAACAAAACTTATCATTATACAATTCAAACTTAAGTTACATAAAGCGGGAATTAAGTCATAAATAGTGAGAATTTGAGTTAGAACGCATGGAGCGGGAGCTCACTGATTAAGAAGGATTGTGTGACTTAGATTCAAACCCTAATAAAACTCAATAATTTGAATTTAATTTTGCCTAGACCCTTTATATTAAATATTCAAATAATTAAAACTAGAGTTTAGGTTAAATTTTAAAAAATACCCAACAAAAATATACAAAAGTTGTGAAGAAGAGAATATATTATATATATATATTTGCAATAAAGAAATGAATTAATGGTTGGTTCTTACCTTTACCTACAATGGTTAATTTGTTTAGTTTGTTCAAAATAGAAAACATACTTTATAAAGTGTAATATGTATTAAAATAGAGGGCATTCATGTTTTTATTAGTTATCTCACTTTATCAGATTCAAGATAAAATCTCAAATTAGCACTGCTCATTAATTAATACATTTCTCATATTTTTTCCATACTCAGAATATTCATATTATAAGATAATTAATTTGGTTTTTGTGAATATGAGATGCATTTTGACTAAGTGTAGTTTATGTGACAAAAAAAGTTCCATTCACTGATGCGTTAAAATTGATAGTTTGAACAAAGTTTTTTTTTTTAAACCAGTGTTTGTGCTAATAAAAAAGAGCTAACGATATCCATCATTTTTAATGTTATTACTAGAATACATTTAATTCATAAATATAAAATTTAAATTCATGATTGTGTTTTTAATATATATAAAATTCCCTACATTTTGGGTTTTTTTTAACAGGAAAGAACAAGCCAGAGCTTGGGTTAAATAACACTGGAATAAAAATCATAAAAATAATTGTTTTACTACACTGTTCAAATCATCAAAATACCAAATACTATACCGCTCAGTAGCCTTTAACACATGAACGCAATACAACAAAATTTTAAACGTACTGAACTGAACTAGCTCAAACAAACTAGAGGATGGGATGGTTCTCTTAAAATGTACAACCATATATATACCAAGCAACAATGGTCAATACAAGTCAGGGAGTTCATCGAATCATCGCCCTAACAAGGCAACACGATCTTTCTGCACCACCTGTGTCAAGTTGATATCAAACAGCTCACACCGGATTGGCATCTCCATTTCATAGAAGGGATTCTTTAAGACGTAGTCGGTGTACAGTTCGTAAATGTGTTTCAAGAGACCTTCCATGTGCAGTGCTCCAGGCTCACACACCACAAAGAACTTTGTTCCTGAAAGAACGAACGATTAATATCATAAATTAACTAATACCATGACAGATATGCATGTCAGTTCATTCCAAGAAGAAATCTGTTCAGAACAAGGCCTAACCGATCAACTGAAAAACCATCATGTTATCATGACCATACCTGTAAAAACTGTTTGCTGTCTATCATGTCAAAATTGAAAGTGTTTAAAGGAACAAAAACAACTTTTGTGATGCACATGATAGTTCAAATGAAAAACTTGACGGATTTGTTAAAATTCTTCCAAACATAATCTTGGTCATCTACACTGCTACAAGAAAACTTGGTTTCTACTTTTAATTATGTCATCCTCCAAAGTCTTTCCCCTTTTCCTTTCCTAAAATCCTTTGTGTAAATGTTCACAGTCATCACAAGTGGGAGGGAAAGGAGACGGAAGGAAAACATAAGAGACGAAATATTTTAACAGCCATAAAAACTTTCATGAGAGGGAAAGAGGAATCCCATTTCTTACTAAACCTTTATGGATGCAGCCATATTCTACAAATAATGCCAAAGGCTAGTCTATACTCCATCGGGAATCAATTAAATAATATAATTTATTGCTATACACTATATTCATAATCAAACAAATTATAGACTTTTCTTACTCAAATTTTAAAAGCAAACCATCTAGATGTATAACTACAACTGTACAAGCACATATGTTTGTAGCTGGAGGCTAAAATACATGCGATGTGTCAGTAAATCATCTAATTTAAGCTCTAAATTATAACCATCTTAAGATTATATTATGATGGCACATCGTCACTTGAATTCTACTTAAAATTCAATGCACCATAGTCCATTACGTTGTCAAAGTTGTCTTGTTTGTCCACCAAAAAAGAGTATTTATAGGCTAAAACCAAAACCACCATAGAAGTCTCCAACAACCAATCTTACCTAATAAATTATTAGAACTCAATTTCTACTACATAAAATTCTAAAACTAACACCCTCACCCAGGTGGCCTGCGCGGGACACCCCCCGCACCCCCACACACACACACAAAACACTAACACCAACCACCCACCCACCACCACTTGCAATAACAAAACAAAGAGTTAATAACTCCAACATTAAATATAATCACAATATCATGCCATCTACCATCTGCGTGTGAGATCCTCTTACAATTAGCCTGATCCCCCCACCCACACACACACAGGAAATAAGCTCCAATACAAAGAATGAACTATTTGTTTAATTTAAATGAGCAATCATGTACGATATGTTTCTCATATAACTAAATTTATTAGACAATCTAAATTTCTCTATACTGACGGTGCACAATTTTTTTGAATATCCCACTGCATATTCCAGTAAAATACTTAAAAATTTTAAACTGCAAAAGTAACTCACAACTATACATGAACATAGCAAATAATAAACACAAACAAATCAAGTAAGAGACAGAAAGAGAATCTTCACAAGACTCCCAACCTACATACTGCATCATATTTTTTATTTCAAGGGTGCGTGGGCTCTTGAAATCAAAGTCAGAACTACTACTAACACAAAACTTGTAAGGTATATCATGGCTACATTCTAGGAAATATCTTTAGGTTCTTGTACGCCAGGTTACCCAATTTTGTTCACACATTTGTGGCCCATTAGATTCATAATAAGACTAGGTTAACTTCAGTACTTATGGACCATTAGAGTCCCCCATAAACCTTGAGTGCTTGGTCTGGTAAATGTATCAACAAGTCATGGAATTGTTAATATCATATATGTGCATTACAACACGTACTACTAAACAATTCCCAGAATTCTTCAAACCAACATGAACCATAAGGCACAGAGAAAATAATAATAACTTTCTGCTGCTTCTAGTCATACAAATATTATCAACAGCCTCACTTTGATGGACTACTATTTGCTCAAACAAGGAACTTCAATTAGCATATCCTAAGATTCTGGTTCTGTGAATTTGAATTTCAGTATGACGCACACAAAAAGGTAATGCATAAATATTACAAGCATTGTTCATCATCAGATCTTGGCTCTAGCTGCAAATTGAATCAAACAACAACTCACACACATGGTCACTCTTAAAATGTTTGCTTCTATTAAATTATTTTTTGTACATAATCTGTGATGATTGTGATCTATGTAGCATAGAAACGGACATGGGACACGGACACGTCGACACGCCAAATTTTAAAAAACTAGGACACGGGTATGGCTTGAACACGACTATAAAAATATAAATTGTTATTTATATACATACATTGAGTATTTCTAATTTTTATACTAAGAGTTGTAATGACTTTTATATCATATATACAGTTATTCCACTACTTTGTCATAATAATGTTTTTATTTTAAATGAACAAATATCATTTAATGCTTCCCTTGTGACCATATGTGCATAATGTCAATTTTTCTTAAGGAAAAAATTTGAACACTTTAGAATGTGTTCGTATTATTTTCAAGAATACGAGTAGACTTGTATTAGAAATATTTGAAAGTTTCCGCCTAAGTGCCCAATAAGTGTCGGCGAAGTGTCGAAAAAGTGTCCAAAATAATAAAAATTTATTTTTATTTACGGACACGTATATGAAGTGTCCGTGCTTTATAGATTTACTTGATGTCCTTATGTAGAGAACTCCAGATTTACTTGATTTAATACTAAATGTTAAATGATTTTGAAAACAACATTGATAAATCCCAACAAATATCAAATACCGAACAAAAAAAATATATATATCATGCAACTTCTACAAGCTTTTTACTACGATAATTGATCACAATATATTTTTTGATAAGTAGCAATTGATCAATATATATATATATATATATAGAAATAATAATTGATCACAATGTTGAACAACCCCATAACATAATCTAGTCAACAAGCTGTTGACAGCATGCTCCACTTGGTTGCCAAGAGTTTTATCACAAAGATCAAAGTGTTCACTTTGTAGATTACTCAGGAAAATTAGCCTGCAATAACTAAGCCAAGCAAAACCAATTTTAGCCAACAAGTCGTTTTTTTATTCCTTTGGTTTCTGTTCAAAAGCCAGTGTTCAACATTTCTTTTATTTTCTTTTTCTATGTTGTTTTGGCAACAAAAGAAAGTAAGAATCCACAAATTAAAGGTATTTATTCTCATTCAGAAGAAAATTACAATTAGAATGAGATTTACCAGTGAGAGATTGGAAACAGTGGAGATCGAATGTGTCCGCTTCGAGGAGTTCGATCCCTGAGCAGCCCCCAACCGGAGATAGCTGCTGAGATATGGCGTGCATCGAATGCCAAACACTGGCTAATCGCAAGCTATCGTTCGTATCCATCCGTCCCGCAGACCCATAATCCTAACCATATTCAATCAAAAAGCATAGGAATGTTCAAAACAAAAGCAATTACAGTTGGTCCTCAACCTGAATCTGATTGTTCGAATTGAAACTATTTTCTCCGAAAATCTTTCCCGGAAAGGAAAATGTTTGTGAGGCTTTACCTTGCAGAAGATGAGGCCACCCGATTTGTTGATGATGTAGAGACTGAAAATTGCAGCCATTGATTAATTTCGAAACAGATATCAGAGAGTTTTAGAAACCCTAGCGACTGGTCTGATTTGCTTTGAGCTTAGTAATTATCTATCAAATGAGACCAACTCACTACTACTGAAGATGTGAGTTGGTAGGAATCGAATCGGGTCGGGTATCCACCAAACCCACAAAAAGCTTAGTAACGACGACGATCTATCAAAAAAATGAGAACAACTCACATCTGAAGCTGTGACTGTGAGTTGGTAGGAATCGAATCGGGTCGGGTATCCACCCAAACCCACAAAAGAACGGCATCCCTTTATTATAGGACTCCATCACTTTGTTGCAGAATACTGACTCCTAAACTTTTATGATGAATACATTCCGAACTTGAATGATTTAATTTTTTATTTAAATTTTGTTCTTTTAAATAGGAATGCACGTGGTCCAGAATAATATGGTTAGTCGAATCGGTTCCATACCACATTTTTTCCCTTCTTTTAGGTGCGTTTAGTAACGTTTTCGTTTTCTGTTTTTGCAGTCGCAAAGAAACAGAAACATAATTTTGTTTTATAAAGTAAAAAATAGAAAGCAAAAATAACGTTTAATAATCTTTGCTGTTGCCACAATTTTAATAACAAAAAACAGTGTTTAGTAAAACATTTGTTACAAAAAAAAATTTTTTTTTGGAAATTTTTTTAATTTATTTTTTCATCAATTTATCAAAATCATAATAAAAGATATGATCTACAAAAGGAAAAAATATATATATATATGCAGGGCAAGATAAGATAAGCGTACTTTTGAATATTTTTGTGCACCCTACTTTTCAGTATGATTTTTATTATTTCTACGGTCTAACAATATTTTTGTGCACCGTACTTTTGAATGGAGGACCTTACCTTTTGAGTCGACTGACTTTGGATGAGCAGGAGATTATTGAGTTCAAACTCCTTTCGGTTCCTTTAGGTTACCGATTTATGGGGAGATTATTTGGTGGTTGAGTTCAACTCTCCTCTTATTTAAGGGGCTACTCAATCGGAGACAAATGTTAGGGTCCCAAACAAAACTACTTGAAGCGTCTAATTAAAGTTCAATTATGATGGAACTTTACGCAAGAAAAGAATTGCTTGAAAAATGGGTTAAAGGCCCTGTATGCACCAAATGTTATGTTGATGGAGTTTCAGAGTTTTAATGATGTTCAATTTTCCACCACACCCTCCCCACTTGGAAAACCGTCATTCCATGAATCCTATATTTGAATGTCTCTTTCATATATATATATATATATATATATATATATAACTATACATACATACAGTAAGTTTGATGTTACCACAACTATTTCAATACGCCATGCGATGTTGTCAGTTGTCTTTAACTCGACAATTGGGGTAAATCAGTTGAAAAGTTACCAGAAAAAATTGGCTTTTGACTGTGAATTCGCAACTTGCAAAGTAAAAAAAATGTTGTAACAACTGAAAACATACCTGGCACGACCTAATTAGCTAGAAAGTTTTCAATGAAATGATGATACCATGTCACGTGCTATACTAACAAATTAAATTTTATCAAAAAAAAAAAGAAAAAGCATTGCATCATATTTGAACGGGTTTCAAAACCAAGTTTGATATCACTGCTATGTTAAAGTTTTATTTCTTAATAATCGCTTGTCAATTGTTATTCAAGCTGCGAATACATACACAAAATGGTTACAATTAAGCTCTCACATTTGAATCTGCAATCTCAGATAAGCTGAAATTTTACCATATTAATTGAATCACAACAGCTTTACAAGAGTGATAAGATCGTTTTTTTGACATATATATACAATATATATAAGGAGTATTGTTAACTCCATAGAGATTTAATTATCTTGGTTGAATATCACGAATTAGGTAACAATGTAGCAGTGGTTCCATCAAAACTTCAATTATCATCTCTTTTAGAAAAGAAGGAGAAACAATGCTTAGGCTTAAAAATTCTTAGGCTAGACAAATCGGAATCATATTTTTCGAAAAGAGAAATGTTGCCTGAAGTAGGCTCAACGTGACCAGTCCAACCATGCTAATGAGGTAAGATCGATGAAGAGGCCCTATAAGTGAATGTCAAATGGTAGCTATGACAACCACCGGATCACCATACTATAATTTGACCACCATGATGATCTTCTCAACAACCAATGTCCCAAGGTCAAACCGCAATAAAGCTGGAGAGTTCTGGACTATTATTGGTGATCATATTTGCATCTAAGTTTATTGGCCTAGAAAAATTTTATTAGTTGTACAATAATCCATGGAATTTTATCAGAAAAAAACAAACAAAAAAATCTTTATACATGTATATATATGTGTCTAAATTTTTACTAATAAAAATTGTCCAAAAAAATTGCAAGAGAGTTGGTTTTTACAATTATCTAGAATTTGAACAAGAAATCATTTCTAAGCAAAATTCCGTAAAAAAATAAAATAAAATTCAAGAATTTTTTTTTAGTAAGTCATTTTGTATATAAATAACATTTTCAGGAAATGATTTTACAAATTTCATTTTCCTGCTGAAAAATTAACTTTTAATTCATGGGAAATAGTGGTTTCTCAACAAAAAAATGAAACTGAAATATTTATTTTGGCCTCAATATTTGCTGGCAGTTGCTTGTCCTACCTACCTAGGTCTTAAGCTCTAAATGCTTTGTTATGATTAAATTTTTAAAAAAATAAATAAAAAATCAACAAACAGTCATCAGTGTAGTGAAGAAACTCTCGAGAGGAGGTAGTCCTAAAATTGGTAAGTCTTAACATGAACATAAAGAATTATGCGGCTATGCAGAAGTCAATCTCTCTTTAAATTTGTGTGTCACTAGACCAAGTTATCTTGGAATTAAAGACTACAATTAAATCCTCTCATCTGCACAACTAATTCCCTTGTTCTACTGACTAAACATGCCTACAAGTTTTCCTCTTTATATCCTTCAGAGGGGACTACAAGTTGCAGAAGAAAAGAAGGGGTTCTTAGCGAGAAAATGTGGGCCGGCAAGAAAATTTTCACCGTGTATATTTTGGGATTTCTGCTATTCTATGGCTTCATGCATTGTCAAGCTTGGATTCAACACCATCGTTTCATTGTAAGTACTATTATATATCTTTCTGAAACCATTCGTAGGCTGATAATCACACAGAGATTTGTGAATTCTCGGGTTCATAAGAGTGCATTCTATTGTAACTGTGTATGGATACCTGTACATATATGTATTTATAGATACATGTGTGTGTGTGTGTTCACTTACATTTTCTTGCAATTGCATAGTCATGGGATCAATGTCAACCTTTTATTGCAGGTCAAAGAAGTTCACTACAAAAGACTCTGCAGCAGAAAGAATATCTTGACAGTGAATGGAAAGTTTCCCGGGCCAACTCTGCATGTTCACAAAGGAGATACAATCATTGTCGATGTCTATAACAAAGGAAAATATAACATCACCATTCACTGGTATGAATCTATATACGATAGATATCCTGTAAAAAAATCACAATGTGGCACATGGTCATGGTTTTTCTGGTTGCTATTGTCAATTTTGACATATTTAAATATATTATAGTATATGCTCAATAAAAAAATTAATTCTATGTTCATTCAAATTTAATTTCCAGGCATGGAGTGAAAATGCCAAATTATCCATGGTCAGATAGCCCCGAGTATATCACACAGTGCCCAGTCCAACCGGGTGCAAAATTTAGTCAGAAGGTCATATTCTCGAAAGAGGAAGGAACCCTTTGGTGGCATGCCCACAGCGACTGGTCACGAGCCACGGTCCATGGGGCTATTATCATCTACCCCAAACATGGTAGTCGATATCCTTTTCCTAAGCCTCATGCCGAAGTGCCCATAATATTAGGTACAACTAACTACCATGTTGCTTAGAAATTATAGAAGTCAATTAATCTCTTAACTTTTTACTTACTGAGGAATTGAAGTTATGTAACTTGTTTCATGTTGACTAATAGGAGAGTGGTGGAAGAAAGATGTGATGAGGTTCTAAAGGAATTTCTTGTAACAGGAGGAGCCCCAGAAAACTCTGATGCTTTCACTATAAATGGTCAGCCTGGTGACCTGTACCCATGTTCAAAGCAGGGTTGGTAAATCTGTTCTTCATTTCTCAATGAAGACTTTTTTCCTAGTTTTACGTTCCCAAAAGAGCAACGTTACAATTGTTGACATTGCCACAACGACAGAGAGAGGAGAGTGTGTGGGGTCCACCACTTCACACCTCTCTATCTCTTAGTTGGGTGTCGCAATGTCGTCAATTATAGACTTTTCTTTATCTCTCAGAATCTTTTATCTGGTTTTGAAAAAAATTACCAATAAGATAGTTTATCTTTTATCCTAAATTAGCCCCTTGAACCATAGTCATGAATTACTCATAAAGTTTCATTTGATGGCTGCAGGAACATTTAAGCTAACTGTGCATCATGGTAAAAGATACCTTCTGCGAATAGTCAACGCAGTCATGAATGAAATTCTATTCTTCTCAATTGCAAAACACAAGCTCACAGTGGTTGGTGCCGATGGGAGCTATACTAAGCCATTGACACGAGACTACATCGCAATATCCCCTGGTCAAACCCTTGATGCAATCCTCCATGCCAATCAACGGCCGAACCACTACTATTACATGGCCGCCAGAGCATATTCGAGCAACGCTGCTGTTGCTTTTGATAACACAACCACCACGGCTATTGTGCGCTACAAAGGAAGCAACACTCCTCCATCTTCACTACCTTCCTTACCTTGTCTTCCATATTACAATGACACAAATGCAGCTTTTAATTTCAGTGGTAGCCTTAGAAGCTTGGCTAGTAAGCACTACCCAATCTTTGTCCCATTAAAAGTGACCAAACGAATCGTTTCCACCATTTCAGTCAACACATTTCCCTGCCCTGTAAACCGTAGTTCATGTGAGGGGACAAATGGTACGCGATTGGCTGCTAGCATGAACAACATTAGCTTCGTAAATCCATCAATCAACATACTAAAAGCTTACTATAATCATATCAGTGGAGTATTTGGAAAGCGATTTCCTAGTTTTCCACCATTGATATTCAATTTTACTGCAGAGTATCTTCCACTGACTTTGGAGATTCCGAAAAGAGGGACAGAAGTGAAGGTACTCAAGTATAACTCCACAGTGGAGCTCGTTTTTCAAGGAACAAATTTGGTTGCAGGAATAGATCATCCTATGCATCTCCATGGGTACAGTTTTTTTGTGGTTGGATGGGGATTTGGTAATTTCGACAAAGATAAGGACCCTCTCACATATAACCTTGTTGACCCTCCTCTTCGTAACACTGTTGTTGTGCCCAAGAATGGATGGACTGCCATCAGATTCAAGGCGAGCAACCCGGGTTGTGACATGATCTGAACTCCATTATTGTTATTCAATGGTCAGTTGCACGAAATTGGTGTCGTGGAATTGAAATTGAAAAAAGATTAGTTTAAACTTTGAACTAAATTTTCTCCAATCCCAAGATACCAATTCCATCCAACCAAACAAAGTAGTTTTGTTGTTTTTAGTAAATTAATCTATATAGGTTTATTTTTTGATAACAGGAGTTTGGTTTATGCATTGTCATTTCGAGCGTCATCTTACATGGCGCATGGAAACCGTGTTCATAGTGAAAGATGGCAAGCAACGTGAAGCACGTATGCTACCACCACCACCAGATATGCCACCTTGTTGAAGCAATTGGAAATTTCTTATAGTTTTTCTTTGATGTTTCTGAATTCAGATCAATCGTTTCAATGGTGAAAATAGTGGCAAATATAGAACAAAGCTTAAAGAAAAGAAAAGAAGGATATTTATGCATTATTAATTAATTTTTCTTCATCTTGTCAGTAAAAGTAATTTTTTTTTTTTATTAAAATTATTATTATTAATTTTTTGTGGCAAGGACTATAAGTAATGTTAGTTGTAGATTGGGTTTGAATAACTTTTTGGTTATCCGGGAAAGGCACTAGACACCAGCGAATGATGAGGTTTTGGGCAGGGATTGGGCAGGTCTTAGTTCAATAAAGCTTAGAATGATGGAGGTCATGTCTATCAATATTAGCTTCACAAGAAATTAAACATGATCCAGACGGTGATAGATATAAACACTGATATTATATATGATGGACTTCATTATGAGAGTTTTCCAGTTGGGAAATTAATTTTGAAGATACCTTGTGATCCTGTTTTTCAGAGAATTGGTTCTAGTGTGTCTCCTCCACTTATATATAACTAGTAAAAGATCTTGGTTAAGTCCAGTACTTGTGGACTATTGGAGTCAAGTTAACTTTGAGTATTTGGTCTGGTAAATGTCTCAACGAGGCATGGAATTAGAAATATCATATATGTGCATCGCAACACATACTAGTAAACAACTAAGTCCAAACATCATATATGTACATAGCAACACATACTATAAACAACTCCCAAAATTCTTCAAATCAATATGAAACATCAAGCACAGAGAAAAGAGGTATTGCCTTTTGGTGTCGTCCTTCCCGTCATAAAAATATTATCAACAGCCCACATTTACAGAATACCATTTCTCAAACAAGGTACTTTTCTACAATTTTGCAAGGTTTACTCCACAATATACAACAGCAAACAAGCAACACGAGTAAAATGAGCTATCCAGTAATTCTAGCTAAATTGAATTTCAGTGTAGTGCAGACAAGGTAGTAATGCATGAAGATTACAAGCATAGTTCATCATGCAGCTTCTATAAGCGTATTACTATGATTATTGAGCACAATATCAACAACCCGAGAACATAATCTAGTCAACAACCCGTTGACAGCATGCTCCACTAGGTTGCCAATAATTTTTATCATAAAGATCAAAATTTTCACTTTCCCGACTACTCGGGAAAATTAGCCCGCAATAACTATGCCAAGCAAAATTAATTTTGGCCAAGTTGAGTGGTTTATTTCCTCTGCTTCCTGTTCAAAAGCTAGGGTTCAAAATTTCCGTTTCTTTTCTTTTCCCATGTTGTTTTGGCAACAAAAAGAGAGAAATTCCACAAATTAAAGGTATTTACTATATTAGAATGAGATTTACCAGTGAAGGTTTGGAAAGAGATCGAATGAGTCCGCTTCGAAGAGTTTGATCCCTGAGCAGCCCCCAATCGGAGATAGCTGCTGAGATATGGCGTGCATCGAATGCCATACACTGGCTTATCGTAAGCTATCGTTCGTATCCATCGGTCCAGCAGACCCAGAATCCTAGCATACTCGATCGAAAAGCATTAAAAATATTCAAAACAAAAGCAGATTACAAATGCGTCTGAATCTGACTGTTTGAATGGAAACTATTTTCTCGGAAAATCTACCCTGGAAAGAGAAATGCATTATGTTTGTGAGGCTTTACCTTGCAGAAGATGAGTCCACCCGATTTGTTGATGATGAAGAGGCTGAAAATTGCAGGCTATTGTTTAATTTCACGAAACAGTTAATAATAGAGTTTTTGAAACCCTAGCTACTGATCTGGTTTGCTTTGAGCTTCAACAACGTTAAACTATCTATCAAATGGGACCAACTGCCTGCTAAAGCTGTGACGACTGACGAGTTCGAGTTGGGTAGTTGGGGTGGGAATTGGGTGGGCATAACCCGATTTCCAAATGGGTTTTCACATAAATGGGTAAGGTACCGTACATTTGAGAATGGGTTTAAACGTTAAAGTTCAATTTTAATTCCAATAAAATTTGACTAAATATTTTATTCGCCCAAGCGTTGAAAGGTAAAATTATGGAGTATGATTTACCGTGTATTAATTTAACTTTGATAATATTTTAAGTTCTATCTAAATTTTAATAGAAAAAACTATTATTAAATTTTAATCATCAAAAGTTTCAAATAAAATTTTACTTATCTAACTAGCCGAGGTCTCATCCCTAGTTGGTATGATCCATCCGGGTCGGTTATATACCCAAACCTACAAAAACTGTATGTGTATATGTGATATACAATTATACATACATACATGTATGTGTGTGTGTATGTATCGGTATGAGTAGTGACTGACGATAGGCCACGCCTCTTCGACTTGGTTCGTTGTCACTATAAAGTACAAACTACCAAACTTAGCTCAATACAACAACTCTCTCTCTATTTCTCTCTCTAAGAAGAAGAATGGCGGTGAAGCAGAATTCGAATCCAACGGTGGCGATCAACAACCTCAGGTTCACCTACCCTGGAATCGACGGCCACCCTCCGCCTGGCTCCACACCTCTGATCGATCATTTTACTCTCACTCTCAATTCCGGCGATCGCTGCCTTCTCGTCGGATCTAACGGCGCTGGTTCAATTCCTAACTTTCCTGATTACTCTAACCGCCCGTTTGGTCGCCGAGAAAAATGAAGCAAAAGAAACGAAAATTTATCGTAAAACCGTTTTTAGCTTTCGTTTGCATTTTCTCAGCAACCAAGCAGGGCGCCAGGGCGTATCTGAAATTCTCATCTCTCCATGAGTTTCGCTAATTGGATTGATGTAAATGTGACAGGGAAAACCACAATTCTGAAGATATTGGGAGGGAAGCACATGGTGGAGCCAGATATGGTTCGTGTGCTCGGAAGATCGGCGTTCCATGACACCAATCTCACGTCCTCCGGTGATCTCTCTTATCTTGGTGGCGAGGTTTGTATTTTTTTGTTTTATATCACTTAATTCTATGAATTATATACATTATTTATTGGTATGTATGTTTGAATAGCTGTATGATAATTGATTTTTCTGCTAGGCATTGTAAAATATCAGTTGGATGTTTCTGTTATTAGTTGTCTGATTCTTTGATAGCAAAAAGAAGTTGAACTTATGTAAGGTTATCAGTTGGTTATGCATTTGTTTTCAAGTTACAAATGTATGATTTCCTGTTTCAGGGATGAATGATATTCAGCTGGAAGATCCAAATTTTTATTTTCAATTTTTTTTGGGCCTTTCTCAACCAAAATCTATAATTGATCCAAATTATAAGCCTTAATCATGAAAAAAAGTATTAAAGTGGTCTAAATTTCTATCTTTTATTTCATCTGAAATTTTCTAAATATAGCTTTTTTTCCTTTTTCAATGGGCCATTAGCCCAATGGTGTAACTATAGCCTCTCCTCCCTCAAAGGGGAGGTGAGGGCTTCGAGCCCCATGGTGGGCAATTTGTGAAATGTGTGTGTGAGTCTTACCTAACCAAAAAAGACCCTTTTTTTTATTTGAGGTGCTGGCTTCTTTTTTGGGGTTCCTGATTTTCCCTGAATCAAATCTAATTTTACAATGTTTCAGTCAGTTCTGTATTTCAGATGACAAAAGTTTTGGAATTTCGTCGGGTCATCTATGGCGTCAAAAATATTATCTAATTGTGAAAATTTTTAATTTTTCCCTTCCAGTGGAGGAGAGAAGTGGCTTTTGCTGGTTTTGAGGTTCCAATACAGATGGATGTTTCTGCTGAGAAAATGATATTTGGGGTAGCAGGAAGTAATCCTCAAAGAAGAGCTGAACTTATCAAGGTAAGATGCCAAAGTCTTTCTTGTGAGAGTCTTCGACTTTATACGCATAATTTTATATGTTGTGTGCACGTGGTTCTAGTGATAAAACATGATAAACTATTTATTAAAAAATTAGTAAACTCATAAATAAAGATTCCAGAATGAAAAATCTTCTCTAGACCGAGTTTGGGCTAATTGAACTAATTTTCGTAATGGAAATTATGTTCCTAATACGCAGCGTTCAACTCAATTCAACTTAATTTGTACCAATTATGGAGTCATACATGAATCTTGGTTCATTTTTTTGTTCCATCTGAGGTCACAACTTTTATTTTAACCACATGTTATCATTTATCTCACTATCTCAGTTCATGTTAATATTGGTCTTCCTCTTCGCCTAATGTGATCCTCTACACACACCATGTCACTCTTCTTCATTAGTGTTGTTAGTCTTTGTGTACATAACCAAACCATCTTAATGATTTTTGTCACGTTATTTCCAATGGTGCTACTTCAACGGTTTTACAAATGCAAGACTTCAAGTTCCTATGGCAGATCACGAGATTCATATCTAATTCTACTTTTTATTTTTATGATCTTATCATACTTCTATCTCTGCATCCGTAGTTCGAAGAAGTTGTTTCTTAGGGACCCAATATTTTGTTTCATGAAGTACAGACCCTCATATTTATTTTAAAGAAATTACCTTCAATTTTAGAGGTGTCCGATGGTCACACAAGAAACACTTCACCATCTAATACATCACACTTTGATTCTATGAGCAACATCACCTTCAACACTCTTATCTTTGTGACTATTATAAAGTCTTTGCTTTTAAATTTATTGACTCAATTTTTACTACATATGTATTTTCATTTCACATATTATGTTCTCATTCTAGTTATCTTAAGCCTCTTAATTATAGTCTCTTCATATTTCTAATTTGGCATTTATCTCTGCTTTAGTTTGACATCAAAATAATATCATCAAATATCATATAGCATGGATTTTCACACTAAATCTGTCTTATCAGTCCATTTATAATTAAGTGCTGAACTTTATTTAAGCCTATAAGCTATAGTAACTAAAATGTCACTTCTTATATTATAGCCTTCCATATTGTAGTCATGCTTCCATCATACATGTTTCCTATATATTTTCCAGAATTGTACTCTAATATTCTCGTCTAGTCCTACTTGGAGTGCATAAATATTAATGAACATATAAATTGGTGTTCTGTTTTTCATGCAGAACTGCCAAAAGACTAGGGAAAATTGGAACAAAGTTTGGTGCGACGTCATTCTGTATATGGATTGTTCAAAATAATCAAGGAGAAGAAAAATTTAGATAAATTTCAAAAACAATAGTTTTTTTAACTAACTACGGGTTAATTGCATTCTTTAGGATGGTAAAGAGAAGTTAAGAGTAATGGTTCTTTCCTCTGTGTGTACATTTTTGAAAAACTGACTTTATTAAATTTTGGGGCATGGTCATGTCTCAACCTGTAATCCTAGGCAATATGTTGTTTCTCAAGTTATAATCAACTTACTCCATAACTCAATAATGTAGGTGCTAGACATTGATCTATCTTGGAGAATGCACAAGGCATCTGATGGTCAGAGAAGGCGAGTGCAGATCTGTATGGGTCTGCTAAAGCCATTCAAGGTATCTTTATCTGTTGCATGACATTTAAGTTTTCAGATGTTTACATTTTAACCTTTATTGGCTAAATTCTTGAGATCTTTTTTTAATCCAAAGTTGCGCTTCTTTTTATCTAGGTTCTTCTTCTTGATGAGATTACGGTTGACCTCGATGTGCTTGCAAGGGCTGACCTTCTGAAGTTTCTCAAAAAGGAATGTGAAGAGCGAGGTGCTACAATTATCTATGCTACACATATCTTTGATGGTCTTGAGGATTGGCCATCACATATTGTATGTAACAAATTCATTTTTTGTCCATGTTTCATATCTAAATTTCTGTTTTTTTTATTCTACATAGTTGTAAAAATCATTATGTTGTTTTTAGGTTTATGTGGCTTACGGGAAGTTGCAATTAGCAATGCCAATGGACAAAATTAAGGAGACTAGCAATTTGTCACTAATGGTCAGTTTCCTTGGTCTTTTAAACACTAAAATCCTCCAACTATAGCACCTCCAGTCAGTTTGGTGTTCATTAATACTGTTGGATTTACATTTATGCAACCAAAAATATGGATATGGTGTAATATCATTATTTGCATGCGAGGTTTCTCTTGATTTAGTCTTCCACTGGAAAATTTTCTTTGAATTTTCATTATAAGTAATTTGTTGAAGTTATTATACCAACCTGTTGGGTGTATGTATTGTTTATGCCTCGTGGGAATGGAATTGCATTATTGCAGAGAACAGTTGAGAGTTGGCTGAGGAAAGAAAGAGATGAGGAGAGGAAAAGAAGGACAGAGAGGAAGGCAAACGGTCTTTTAGATTTTGAAAAACAAGTTGAGGGCAGTCGTGTGACTGGGGATCCAGCCCAAGCTGCCATCCGTGCATTGAACAATGGTTGGGCTGCAGGAAGGCTGCATTCCACCATTGCTGGTGAAGAAAATTTTGTCCTGAGCTCAAACAGAGTTCTGAGGCAGTAGTTATATTTTTACTAATAACAAAAACCTCCAAAAGTTGAGGTGCCGAAGTGGAACAAGGTTCATATTTCCTCCTATTGCTCCTTCATTTTTATTTAGTAGTCTCTACTTTCACACACGCGCGCACACATACATAAAAAGTAAAAGGAGTCTCATAGATTGGTTCATGATTAGTATTGTGCTTCCTTCTGTATCAATTTGTAATTCATATATATCTTCTCCCTAATGTTAAGTTGTTATTTTGCATTTAAAATAACAGATAAAATTCATTATTTTTTTCCCACATATTTTGCGTAATACTTGTATGAGAAACTAAGACGCTGTTTAGGCTCTTATGAATTGGAATGAGAATAAAATTCCTAATGTAATTTTGTCTATGCTTCAAAAGTATAATTATCTTGTATTTGCAAATATTTTCTGGGTTTTCTCGACTATTTTGGAGGTATTTACTGTCACACAAATATGATGGTTGGGAAAATGCTTTGTTGAGTACAAACAATAAGTTGCATCAATACCACTCATCCAACATTTATAAGTTGCAGATTGGAAGGTCCTCAGAGCCTTACAATTCAAAGCCCTTTAGCAACTAAACGTTGCACTACAATGTGATCTGCCACTCAAATCTTCTGTGTCGCATTGGTTTCTGATTGTTTGTAAAATACAGTAAACTGGATCGATCATTGTGGCAATGGGTAACCAAGTTTGTGGCTCAGTTATTGCCATTTACCAACATTCCAATACTGTCTTGTGTTATGGATTCTTGTGCCACGTGATCAGGATGGAAAGGGTCTTGGGTATATAAAGTTGAGCATTAACACCACTTGACAGTTCAAACGTTTGGTTGAAGCGTGGAGTATCTAGCCTGTGACAAATGGTTTCAGATGACAAATGGTTTAAGAGGCCAAATGCTCACACTCGGTTGTTACTCTGTCCATCGACCGGGTCCCAACGATGGGTTCAACAATCGTCCCAACGATGGGTTCAACAATCACCCCTTGTCTTGGTCGTTATTGGGTCCATTGATCGGGTCCCAATGATGGGTTTAACAATAGGCTGTTGCCTCACATTGGGCTGGTCTTGATTATTATTGAGTCGAAGCTATGTGTTTTTACATTGGGTCGTTGCTGGGTCCCAGCGATGTGTTTCGATTATTACTGGGTCTCAATGATGGGTTCTTGTCTCACACCGAATTCAGTTGGAATCCAGAAAGAAAGAACTTATGGATCAAAGTTAGAATTCCTAAAAGAGCGTGGAATTCCTAGAATTTAGCCATTAATGAGAATGCATAAATTTTGTCTATATATAGGAAAGTTTAGGAGTGAGTGAAAGAAACTGCTCTGGACTATCTAAGAACACTCTTTAAGTATTTATTAACTCTACAATCAACTTGCTCCAAATGTCGTACAATTTTCCATTCTCTCTACACATTAACCGGCCGGAAAATGTTCAAGTCACCTTTGGGTACAAATGGCCAGTAATGCTGTGGCTGGGCGTCCTCTATTCACATACCATATTTGGATCGTCTTCGTAAATAGGTTACTTTGAAAAGTCAATTTCATGAAAAAAAAAAAAAAAGGCTCTCAAAGGAAGGTCAAGTTCAAGTTGAAGGCACGTGTATGTATATATCAACTATGAAAAGTCAATTTCATGTAAAAAGGGAGATAATTAATTTCTTTCAAATTATTGAGAAAAATTGAAAGCTATGGTCAAATAATGAAATATTTCAAATCAAATATTTTACACACATTTTGCCCACACCTTGTTCCCACACTTGACATTGAAAAATCAAAAAATTGACGGGTAATTTGCAAACGCTATGGATATTACGAAAGGTTAGCTGCGAAAAATTTAGTACAATGGGGTTAAGTGCCAAAAATGAAAAGTATAGGGGGTTATCTGAAATTAACCCATAAAACAATAAACTGAGTACAACAAACACATCATTCTTCCATACGATTAATGAAAAAAATTCAATACACCAAGAAACACAATATCAATTTTATTCAGACATTCTGCTTAAGAAGTCATTGAACATCATGCCATCTTCTATGCCTGCCAAAATAAACAGAATTACTAAAACAATGCCACCAAATTTATATTAGGATAGAAAGTCAGCATTTATTGTCAGGAGTGTCTAATTTTAGTGTCCAGAGACAACCTACCTTGTTAGCAATGTTGTTGGAGAGCCAGTCCAGTCCCTCGTACAGACCCTCACCGGAAGTGGCACACGTGCTTTGGATATACCTTAAAAAAAAAAAGACGAAAAAATAAACAACATTTGTCATGCTGTGAATTTGGGAAATTCATACACACATACAGAGAGAGATTTGTGTATCAAAAGGTACCAGTGTCGTTGACGGAGGGAGTGAAGACCAAGCTTGTCAGTGATCTCAGCAGCATTCATGGCATTTGGAAGATCTTGTTTGTTTGCAAAGACGAGCAGCACGGCATCCCTCAACTCATCCTACACATGTCAAGAAAAATTGTCACTGACAATAACTTTTATCCTGATAGATTTGAACATGATTAGAAGACCATCCGTTGTATAAACATTTTGACGTGTAGAGTGTCCAAAAGAATTTTTATACAGAGGCCATTGGATCAAGCATTTTTTCCATACAAAAGCAAGGATCAAGCATTTACCATTATGAGGGAAATGACGCTAAGCTATTAATATGAACTGTACATCATTTTGTAACACATAATACACAGTAGAATGAGGTGGGCATGCATGTAGTAGAAGAGGTTTGACAAATTTAAGTACACATCCTCTAAAACCATTTTCTAGTTTTAAATTTCCCTATTTCCAAATGCATGCTAACATTCATATCCTGTATTCTAATAACTAATAAGCTTGAATACTGACAGGGAGCACTTGCGAAAAAGTAAAGTTCTCCATTACCTCATTCAACATCCTGTGCAATTCGTCCCTAGCCTCAACCACACGGTCCCGATCATTGCTGTCAACCACAAAGATGAGTCCCTGTGTGTTTTGGAAGTAATGTCTCCACAAAGGTCGAATCTGGGAACAGAACGCAAAATATATGAGATGCCAGTGTGCAAAAACTCCAGAAAAGCTAAAAAAAAAATTGGATTACAAAAAACAAGCCAAAGATGGCACAAAGATCAAGCCTTGGCAACTAATCTGATACAAAATCAGAGCAAATAAAAAAAATTTGTTCACAAAACAAGATATAGACACCAATTAAATTACAGAGCAAATGCTTTCATTTTTAACTTCTTGTAGGAGTTTGGAATTATCAAGTTTCCTGTTTCAGACTCTTACTGTTCCTTATCCATTTTTTCCCCAGAAACTGTCATACAACTTTCTTCCCAATTTTAATACAATGTTAATAATTTAAGAAGCATTCGAGTATTTAGGAGGTTAAGCAATAACTGCCTATCACATCAAGCTATATATAAAAGAGCAAATTCTTCTAGCTAAAGTCACTAATCCTAAGACACAATGTTGCAGAGCCCGTGCCTTTTGTGAGACAGATGACATATTCTAACTCTATTTTCTTTTTCTTTTTTAAAGCCCCTATGACCTATGTTCATGGACTTGGGTCATGTGTCGGGTGCGTATGTCTTTTTTTAAGCCCCCATGACACACAGACACCATTAAATATTCACATTATTTGGTATTTGTATTTTCAAGAGTAAAATAATATCTTTATGTAACATAGTATTCAATATAGGCATTTAACTAAATTTGAAGCAATAAAATAATAAAACTAAATAATTGGACATGCTTTCTAGGTGAATGTCCATTGTCCAACCAAAAGTGCCGGAAACATATCCCATATTCATGTCCGAGTAATGTGTGTTGGGCACGGGTAGTTCACCTACTTTTGAAGAGTCCATGTAACATAGCCCACACCCCACATTCAAATATATTACATGTATTTATATTAAGTGTATTGAGTGCAATTATTTGTCTGTGTTCCTTGAATCCCAAACATAGGACATGAGGACACGGATTACTTGAAATGTGACCAAAGATTGAATCCGTGCATGGACATTCCCAATTCAAATATATTACTATGAGGTGATCTATATTTAAAAATAAAGTCCAGTGAAATTTAAAACTAAATAGAATGTTTTGGAAAAAGAGACTCGATTTTTCCATGTGATGAGTTGGAACAACCCTTTGTTGCTATTGAATTTGACTTCCTCCTATTTTCCATCATAAGATCCGGAAGATCAACATGTACAATTTAAAACCCACAAATGATAGGGAAAAAAAAAAAACGAAAGAAAAGAAAAGGGCATGAAGTTCAAATAACATAAAATGCACAAAAGAACATAAAATCGCGTTTTTAATATAATCTTACTTATCAAAAAAAAAAAACATAAAATCCACAAAAGAGGCAATTAAGCTGTACACTATTTTTAAGGGTCTCATCATGAAAGATTATCAAGACTTCAGTCCAAGAATAAAAACAATATTCCAGTAGAAAAAGGAAAAATAACTCTGTTTACACTGTCACATACCTTGTCCTGACCACCAACGTCCCAGACAGTAAAGCTAATGTTCTTATATTCCACAGTCTCAACATTAAATCCTGGTTAAAAATGCAAACGAGTACAATCAGCCAAAACTGGAAAATTCAATAAGTTCAATTCGTACATACTCAAATACTAGTGGGCACTGAAGATGGATAGCCTGTCCATGATAAAAAACCGGACACAATTGAAACAAGTAGGTCACAAGTATTAAAATTCAGAAATAGAATATCATAACCAAGAAAAAGAGAATGCATCCCACTAAATGAACTTCAAATTTTCAATAATAAACCAAAATAATATGCAGGAGATAGATAATTTTTCTTCATCATCCTTCATATACAGCGCGAATTTCTCCATCAATTTAGTACCCTTTCACATAAGACTTCAAACAGATATACTCATGATAAGTAACTATCTACAACTAATAAGGACCAGTCAATTTGGACTTGCAAGTCCAAAGTAAAAAAAAAACTAAAAAAGTAGAGGACACAGCAGCCCTTCACATGTGGAATCGTCTCTTTTGTCCAAGGATGCCTACTTATCAAAAAAAAAAAAAAAAAAAAAAAGATGCCTAATCGCCGGACCAATCAATTTTTTTTTTTTTGGGGGGTGGAGTTAATATATAAATATAATTTTCTCCTTATATTTTATAAAACAACTATAGAATTATGATTTTTTGTAATTTCTATACAAAGATTACCTAGTAGGTTAGATGAAACAAAACAAATATCATTTAACATTAATATATTATATACTCTAAGTCTCTAATTATATTTGGCTCTTTACAGTTACATTCTTATCCTGTATTATCAATTGTCAATTACATACTTGACTTATTGGTGATCATGTGTGCATTTCTTATGATTTTTCTTCAAAAATAATACTCCCTCCATCCCAAATTAAATGTCCACCTTCCATTTTTGGCTATCCCAAAATAAATGTCTCATTTGAAAAGTCAAAGTACTATTTTTTTTAACATTACCAATTTAACCTTCTTGCATTGAACTTATAAAAAGTAAGCCATCACATGTTGTGGACCCACTATGGACATATTTGGTAAATCATTCACTACCAATACAATAAAAAATATTAAACCCTATCCTCTTAACCTTCTTGCATTGAACTTATAAAAAGTAAGCCATCACATGTTGTGGACCCACTCTGGACATATTTAGTAATTCATTAACTACCAATACAATAAAAAATTATTAAAACCTATCCTCTTAAAAAGTTAGATTCCCAAAAAGGACGTTTAATTTGGGACGGAGGTAGTAAGTGTAACACTTTTGGGGGTTATGACCACATTGTTTCAAAGATTGTTAGATATGAATACTTTTAAAATGTTTTATTGCTACATAAGTTTTGTGTTGAGTAGTGTATGAAATGTGTCGGCCAAGTGTCTAAAATAATGGAAATTATTATTGAATGATACACGTTGATAAGGTATCGAATATGTGTCTACAAAATCTCCTTGAAGTGCTGGTGTAAGGTACGGTCTAGCATAGAGAATACACACAAGCATACATGCATCATTGCCCTACAATCCAACTTTTATTCCTTTTTCAAGGGAGTCGGGTAAACTTACCTGGACAATCTTTCAAACAGAGGTCAGACATCCTAGGGAAAGTGAAATCAGTCTAGGAGGCTTTATATATATATATATATATATATATATATATATAGATAGATAGATAGATAAATAGATAGATAGATTGCATCTGAAAATGTGAGTTGGTAGCACTACTAGGGAACACGACATTAAGATAACATACCGATTGTAGGAATTGTAGACAGGACTAATATTAATCTAATTCATTGATTGCATGCTCAGAAACATACCGATTGTAGGAATTGTTGTAACAATCTCTCCCAGCTTAAGCTTGTACAATATGGTGGTCTTACCCGCAGCATCAAGACCCACCATAAGTATTCGCATCTCTTTCTTGGCAAACAACCGACTGAAAAGCTTGGTGAAAGACAACCCCATTTTTCTGTTTGCTGGAACCAAAAAATACAAGGGGCAAACTCAATCTACAATGAAGTACAAGTAAAAGCATATGTCCAGGGTGCAATTTATAGTAAAATTAGCATATCATGTGCACAAAAAAAGAAGGTAAAAAAAAAGAGAGGAAGAAACTAAACAAATATAGTGAAATATGAGCAAAAACTCAATATGGTTGTTCCCCAAAGAAACATTTTGTGGATTTATTAAAATCAAAAGGGATTCCTAAAAACAACAGAAACTTTTGCTCCTGACAACATTATGAATTTAGAAACATCACATAAGAACCAGATAAGCTTTAAACTCAAAAAGTAACAGCAAATTTTAGATTCAAATTTATTAAAAAAAAAAAAAAAAAAAAACCCATATTCCTATTTCTACACATTATCACCATAAACAAAACTGCACAGTGAATTGAACCTGAGGTCCTCTACCCTACCCTCCATTTGAATCTTGGACACCATAAGAGGTAGTAAATGTTTATAGAGGCATCAAAAATAAATCTTCTATTCACAATTACAATGAAAGCTTTCCTTTATAAAAGAAAAAAGCAATTTCATAAAAGGAACAAGAATACAACAAACAGAATCTTTGAAATTGCTGTCAAATAATTTGATACCAAAAGATTGATAAACGCAATACAGTCGAAAACTAATAGCAATAAACACCACCTTAAAAAACACTTGTTGAGAAAAATAATAATAAACAATGAAGAATACAAACATAAATACAACAGATAAGTATATGAACACACAATAAGCATACCATTCGAAATACAACAAATGTAACAAAAAATAAAAATCGACCCTAAGCAAACGGACGCCACAAACATAAATGATATATTGAAAATCACAAAATATGAAATGTACAATTTACATTAAATTCGCATCAGTAACATTGCGTCAATAAAAATACAAATCGAGACACAAAATAAGCCATAGCTATCTATACATATACACACATTCATAAGAAGACGACGAATGAACCAAATCAAAAAATAATTTAAATAAATGAACTTTAGAAAATTTACAAAAACAAAATACTTTCATGGAAATTTTAAGATGCAAATCCGCTCAACAAGATACTGATGCTGATCAGCGTTGAAACAACATCAAAATTCACAAAAACAACCAAATCGAAGACGAAAATGTACCTGAATTTCACGAGAAACAGCCAAAACGAGAGTCGAAAGAACGCGAGCTCTGTCACAATAGAAACACGAATCAGATCTAGCACTATCCAGATCTCCAATACACATATATTCATATGTATATATATATATATGTAGTATGTGCATCTGCAATTATATATATATATATATAAACTTACAAAATATAAGGCTAAACTTGGACGAGTAAAGGAGGGCAGATCTAAAGAGACTGCCCTCACGAAAGCAAGTTTGTAGCTCGACGATTTGAATATGCGACCGATCAGAAATATGAAGATCCCGTGAATCTTAGAGAGGGGGAGAGAGAGGATTTTCTTAGGAATATATATATTTGCGGAGGTGATATTTTGTCGGGGTGAAGAAAGGCCTGTGGGCCCAATGGCAGCAGGTCTTGGACCAAGCCTTTGCGAGTTGAGACCCAATTTGGCCCGCATTATTTTCGAACATGGGCCACTGGTTCAAAACTCTAATTTGACTTTCAACCCAAGTTAACTATCCTAGTCAAACTCATCCTTATTCTTTTACGTAAGAGACCTTTATCAAATGTTGATAAATAAATCAAAATTGATCTAATGAGCTTTAAATTACATTACTTGTATAAAGTGATTTATCTTCAATTGTCACCTTTTCACGTAATAAAGATTTTTATTAAATTATTAGAAGTCGAACTAATATTGATCCAATCAACTTTAACATTATTTATATACGTATTTGTTTTCAATTATCACGCACTTTTATGTAATTGTAATAAAGATTATTATTAAATATTATAAGTGAATCAATATTGATCTAACCAGTCTTGACATTACTTGTACAAAGCATCCACTTCAATTGTCACGCTTTCGTATAAAAAAAGACTATTATAGTATTATTAAATGTTAGAAGTGAACCAATATTGATCTAACCAGCTTTGACATTATTTGTACAATGCGTCCTCTTCAACTATCACACTTTCATGTAACAAAGACTCTTATTAAATGTTTAAGTGGCCAATATAGATTTACCTAGCTTTGACATTACTTGCTAGTCTTCAATTGTTGTGACGCTTTCATAATTTTTTTCATTAACCAATTATTTTTCTAAAAACCAACCTAGTATCCTCCAAGACATCATGCATTTGCTTCTCTCTCACGGAAAGAATGGAACATAAAACACACACACACACACATATAGAATTGGAATTCTCTAACTCAAAATTGGCATAATAGCAAAGAAAACCACACACAATTGTTTTACTCATCAAGTTGAGGCCTCCATCCAACAAACAAGACTTTTGAAGAAGCTGAAGCTCTGATGATCATATATATAGCTTTGCCGTGAGGGCATTAACATGATATAGTATTGAAAAACTGATTAACATAGCCTTGTTTTGCTTAGCTTGTCGCATGAAGATTAATGCCATTTGATTGCACAGGTAACTGCAATTCCAAGTCGGCTTTCGCGTCTTGCTTCTGATCATCTTCTGCTGCTGCCACAATTCTGCTCTTCGGATTCATCTCCTTGTTCTTTCCCCAGAGAACAGCATATAGCCCCATAACAATCAATGCAGACCCTACAACACTGGCACAACCACCACATAAAACTATTATCAAAATTTGCTCGGTTTTAACAAATTAATTTCCGCCTTAAAAATAAGTAGTACATCAAATTTACATACGTTCCAACGTATAGTGTCTCTCGAATTAGTGCCCAGCTGAGAATAGCCACAATGACAAGAAGCAATGGGCTGAACACGGACACGTAAAGAGGACCTTTCCTTTGTATGCACCATGACATGAGGCAGATTGCTAGAGCAGAACACACTAGTCCCTGAAATAACAGAATTTGGTAAGAGAAGCTGGTCAAACACACACAAAAACACACATTGATCCAATGGAGCTCATAATTTACAAGAATCATACGGCGTATAGGCAAGTAACAGCCCTAATGCCAGAGGTCAATGACCATGCAGATACATTATGCTCGACGCACAAGCCAATAATGCCACACTGAACACTGGCCATCAGACACATCAGAGCCGAGGTTGTGTATGGAGCTGCATAGTTTTCACTCATTTTGGCCTGAAAATTTAAGTACTTCAACGTTTAATTGTGATCATGAAAATGCTATATATATATATATATATGAAGCAATTTGGTTAGTGCTTACTTGGATAATGAACCATATTGCCCAAGTGACAGAGCTTGCTATTAGGAGAAAAGGGCCTAAGATGAAATTCCCATTGTTACTAGAATTTCCTTCTCCCATATTGTCTGCATATTTCCAGTGAATGCTTGATTCACCTATTGGCACACTATGTCCATTGTAAAATGATAGAAACATGGCACCACCTACACACATTATTGTTCCAAGAACCTTGGCTTGTCCTGCCCTAGTCTTAATTCCCACACTTTCCAAGCTACCAAACATAACAAAGAAAATGAAGTAAATATTTACAGTCATCTACATTTTTAGAAGTCGGGAGACAATTTTAAGAAGAAAAAAAATTACCGGAAAGGGATGGCGAGGAGAAAAGTGACTGCCGGGAGTAAATTTGACAATGCACAAGCAATTGTTGGGGTGGAGTTTTTCAACCCAACGAAGTAAGTGATCTGGTTCAAAGTTACACTGCACATTTCATTAGTCATTTAGTCCATGTTAAGTACTTAATTAATATTGAACAAGTAAAAATGGTAAATAAATTAATAAAATGTTACTATAACAAAACATAGTGAAGTATTAGAATGTCCCACACACACACGCACTTGTTGTGTTGCACTAGCATTGTGACAGAAGAGAACGAAATTATTGAAGTCTGAGAACTTACCCAAAAATGGAAGATAAGAAAATTTGGAAGAGAACTTGCAGTGTCATCTTTGGCCTTGTCTTTCTGCACAAAGATGCAAGAAATTAGTGGAAAATACAGGAAAAAGGTCACCATTTACCGATCCGAATTCTTAATGATTGATTAATTAATCTTGTCTTTTTGTACTAAGAGTCAAGAAATTAGTGGAAAATGCAGGTAAAAACCTACTATTTACTGATACAAATTCTTAATAATGACTTAATCTTATCTTTCTGCTCTAAGATGCAAGAAATTGTTGGAAATTGCAGGAAAAAAACCCACTATTTACCGATACAAATTCTCAATAATTAATTAATTAATAGTTAAAAAAACAAATAAAATTAAATGAACATCTTTGAAAAATAAAAATTGAGTAATCAAATGAAAATGTTATTTTCATTAAAATTATCAATACTATTTGTGAAAAAAAAAAAAACATACATTATTAATAAGAAAACCACACAATTCCATTTTTAGCATGGAAAATGATAAAAGTCTCTGAATTCATATTATAATTATATATTAACGTGCTTATTATTTATTTAAATACTTTTACTATCATTAATTAAGAGTTCCTGTTAGAGACTCGTAATCGTCAGAATATTGAAAAAAGTCATCGTACAACTTTTTCAGCTGCCAGATACAACCATTAGAGATGGACAATTAGGGTGGCTTGTATAAATTGGCTACCATATTGATATAGTAAGAAGAAAAAGAAACAAATTAAATTAACCTATAATAAAGCAAACCACGCATTGAATGGATTGATTCTGTGTTTACACGTGTGTATATACTTGGCTAGCTATAGCATTAGTTTTTTGGGAAGTTGAATGGAACAGATGAACGGTAACACATGCACTCTTGGACTCTTGTGTAGACACAAATGAGAGGCACGTGAGTATAGTGATGAGAAACACGTGACATAGCAACCATGCACAGCCACACGTGTATAGAGTGAATCTTATAATCATTGTTTTTTTTTTAATTTAACAAACTGCATTACTTTTGAATCGGTTCAACATTTTCAATGTCCCTTTCACTATTAATTGAATAAAAAAAACCAATTTAATTATTTGGTATTTAGAAGGATGAAAATTAATTGACAAACAACTTGATCGGTTTCTTGATCACATATAAGAGATCAAGAAATGCTAATATAGGAAGAAATCCTAGCTAGAAAATTAAAGTACTAATCTGTTTGGTTTCAAAGAAAATGTAGGAAAATAAAATATTAAAACTTCACTCAAGTACTGAAGTTAATATGTCAAGAAAAATAAATCCTAGCTAGAAAGTTAAAAGAGTACAAATAGTAGCCCGTTTGGTTTCAAAGAAAATGAATGAAAATAAACAAATTCATTTTTCATAATTTATTAAACCCTTCAGTACTCTATTGGTGATTCAAACACTAAATAATACGCCAGGAGTATTTCACTTCATTTTCTCACTTTTTCTCGGAAACCAAAAGGCAATTAGAATTATGAACCCACAATAATTCATTTAGCATCAAACAAGAAAACCCATTACTATAACTACATTTAATTATACAATACTTAATTAAAGCACTATTGTGTGTGTGTGTGAAAGCCATGAACAGAGTTAAGCAAGAAATGTGAGTGGCTTTCTTTACCTTTCCAAGAAATAAGCGAAGGGGATGATGGCTATGGTGGCGAAGATTTGGCGGTAAGCGACGAGAATGAACGGGTTCAGACCGGAATCCATGGCGAGCATAGCTATGATGTTCATGCCGGCAAAGCCAACTTGTGTAATGACCATGGCCAAGAATGGCAATAAATCACCCGCCATTTTTAGTTTCTTAATTTTCTTCGAATGAGTGTGGTAGAGACGTACACATGCGTTTATATATATATATATAGAGAGAGAGAGAGAGAGAGAGAGAGGAATTGAAGAAAGAGACGGAAAGAGAGAATTAAAGACAGAGAGAGACAGAGACGACACTACATAGATGGGCAGAACAACAGAAAGGGTGAAGAAATATATATCCATGGAAAAAAAGAGGGGGGAAAAAACGGCCAAGATTTCTTGTAACACATACACCACGGTTCATGCACCACACAAGACAAAGCTTGCCGCTCACTATTGTCTAAAGCTCTTTTCAGTTAGAGCACTACTGTCGTGAGGTGCATCTCATGATAATTTTCATGAGTTCTCTCAAAATTTGTGGTACAATTTTTGTTTTCGTTATGACTCAATATATATATATATATATATAAATATAAATTTGATTGGTTTAGAGCTGAGCATTCTATTAATTAGATTACTACATAATTTTCGCTACAAGAGAACACTTATAGCAAAAGAAAATTAGAAAATGAAGGGAAAATATATTTGCATCCTTTCTTGCTCTCAAGCATTCCGTGAAATTAAGAGTTTGCTTGGTTTGTAACTGTGAAAACAGTTTTTCTGTTATCAAAAAACTGAAAACATAAAATTGTACAAAAAATTCTGTTTGATTCAGTTTTCTGAAAACTTAGTTATAAAAATATTTGTTTTCAAATAACAGTCTTTTATAGTCATCTGAAAACTGTTCTTTGTTTTCTGTTTTCTGAATTTCTGAAAATTATTTTCAGAGTTACAAACTAAACATGCTTTAAATTTTACGAGACGACTTACAACTAAATTTGGCAAATGAAGCCATATGATAATTCACTTAATAAACAATAGACATAAGACATAATTGTAATTGTAATGCTTTCAAATGATGACTTGGATGTTTTTTTAACTTTCACCTTAGTTTCACGGGTGTAGGAAAGAGATCTAGTTAGAGGGGATCTTTGTCTGAGAGAGGGTTTGAAAAGTAAAACTTGTAATCTTCTGTTTTTTTGAATTGTGAAATTTTCGGATTCAATTTTCACTTTAAACTAAGATTTTACTGTCACTCATACAATTGGTGCAATTAAATTTTCTCCTTTTAAACAATCAAATAAAGCCCTTGTCATAATCAAAATGGAAGAGTTCAGGAGTGTTGCAATAAGTTGCACCTCATTCTAATTTTTCTCTTTCAACAAATAGTTGTAGTGTTTGCCAGCTTTAATAGAGACTTGAACGGCTAGCTAGCTTGCCTTTTGCCACTTACAAACAATAGAACCCCCACTGTAAAGATTGGTGTTTGTTGCAAACTTCATAATGTGCTCTCTTTTATCACTTAGGTGCAAGTAGCATCCTTTATTATTTATTTTTATTATTTATTTTTTAGTAATATTTTATTCATAAATAAATACAAATAGTTCAAATTCACCATTTGGTGAAATTCATCACTAATAAAAAAAGGGACAGATCGTAATGAAAAAAGATTTTAATTCGTGCAAGTAACTATTATTATAAAAGTAATGTTATAAATAGAGTCGACATGCCCTACTTCTCAGGTTCAAATTTGGAATTTCTCACACCAAGACATTTTCTTTATGAAAAGAAAGAAAAATCTCACACGGTCGAATTCAAAATTTCTTACTCCAAAACATTTTCTTTTTGGTAAAAGAAAAATTCTTCCCGTTCAAATCGGAGTTTCTCACTCCAAAGGATTTTCTTAATTATGTAAAAAATTGAGAAGAAGAAGAATCATCTGTCTGACCCTCTATGGTAAACCTACTCTTAATTGTAATGTGAAAGAGAAATGCACAAATACAATTGGTTAGGTGAATTTTTTTGATTGTGAATCCACTACTGAAAAGCAAAATCACAAATTTAACAAGATCGTGATAGACATTTATGTACACCTTCTACATGGAGTCATTATCACTAGTACCAAAAATCAAAAAGCATTTTGGTGTTTTGTTTACACTACTCGCAACACAAAACACACAAAACACGCAAAACTCTGCAAACAAATTTCGAAAGAAAATGGAAAAGTTTGCCCGAATGAGGCCTTACCATCCTCTTTTAATTTCTTACCAAGTGCCACTATTCTAAATGGTAGAGAGAGTCTACCCTTTCTCTCTCTCTCTTAGCGACTCATTTCCTCCTGATTTGCTCCTCCCGCAGGTTAATAATCTCGGCGTGTCTCAATAAGTTCGCCCTGTGGGTGGTTTTTCACATCGTTTTTTGTTTTGTGTGGCTAAATCTGCTCTTGTTTGGTTTGTTTTCGGCTCGACATGGTGGATCTGTTGTTTTCCTTTCGGCTAGATCTATGATCGATCTGGGTCGATTTTTGTTTTCTCTGGCTTGATTTGATCTTGTGCAGGGTTGGGTGTGTGCAGGTGCCTTGTGGATGTAGTTTTGGAGCTATTGCTTTAATAATGGCCTAACCTTTGATCACTCTAATTGTTGCTCTTCTCCCTTAGTGATTTCCGTTCTAGAGTGGTGACTCTTTCCCAACAAATCTGGAGCCTGTTCTTTATTTTTATTGCTTTGCTCTATGATTTGTATGTCTTTATCTGGCTTGGCTTATGCCTCTTTACTGTCATTTTGGCTTGGCCTTTTGTTTTGTGCCTTTCAAATGAAAAAAAAAAATGGCAGAGTGAGAAGTTTCATAGAGGCACCTCAAGGATGTAATTGAAATCCTACTCTTCTCCTTTTAGTGGTTTCCGTTCTAGAGTGGTGGCTCTTTCTTAATAAATTTGGAGCATGTTTTTTATTTTTATTACTTTACTTTATGATTTGTATGTCTTTATCTAGCTTTGTTTATGCTTCTATACTGTCACTTTGGCTTGGCTTTTGTGCTTTTCAAATGATTAAAAAAAAAATAATAATAATAATAATATGGGAGAGTGAGAAGTTTCATAGAGGCACCTCAAGGATGTAATTGAAATCCAATTTTTTTTTTTTTTTTTTTTTTTTTTTTTTTTTTTTAAATTAAAAAAAAGGAGGTTGGGACAAGTCTTGGTCGCCTTGGGCCTCAAATTTTGAGGCCCATAGGGGATGGAAAAAAGAAAAGGTACTATTAAGTTAGGGCAAGTTTCAGACGACACAATCTGCTTCGACTCTCGGCAGGACGCAGCCTCCGCTATCGCCTCAGGTGACGAGGTATGCTCATCCTCTTTCTTTCTTCTCTCTCCATTTGCATGAATCGATCTTTTATATATATTTCTTTCTTTCGTTCATCTCATCATTTGATTTGTTCTAACTTTGGTTCGTTTGATTTGGGCCTTTACCTTTGTTCCAATAGTGAAAAGTAGCTTCCAAACTATGGTTTTTTTTGTGTGTGTGTCACTGTGTGTGATGGCTATCAAAAGCTGAATTAATATAGTATGATTCTCTTAGTATTTTAATAAATGTGTGCCTTTCTACATGTGTCTTTCATGGCGATCGAGTCCATAATCTATGGCGGGCACTTTTTTTTTTTTTTTTCCTCTCCCTAATTCCACTCCAATCTCACAACAGCAGCAATCATACCCCTTTTCCTCATAAGTTTTTGCATTTTCACATTCAATCCCACGAAAATTAAGGATCCCTTCTAGCGGGTTGAGGTAATAATTAACTTTTTCGATCTCTAAATTAATAATTATGCTCATACTTAAAAGTGCAAAATTAAGGGTTTTTTTATTTTTATTTTTATATGAAGATACATACCACCATTATTGATGTTATTTGAAGTTGGCTCAGCTAGAATTTCAGTTAATAATACTGTCAAAGCACTTGCCATCAGAATGTGCAAACACATGGAAATCAAGAGCAGGCTTTAACAAAACAAAAGTTAATGGTTTTTTCTATTAATTTGCACAGGTCTTCTGTAGCAATGATCAATCAATCACTGCGGGTAATTGGCTCCCAAAAAAAACACACACAAAGTGTAGTGTAGTTAATATAAAGAGTGAAAGACAAAACTATATATGATAGTGGATGCCACTTATAACCTAAAAGTCCCACTACTTCTTCAGTACTACAAGTTCAGCCTCCTATATATATATATATATAGTCACCTCATCTCTACATATTTTTGTCATCTGTAATCATCAAATTTTAGTAGCTATATAAACAATGAATGTAAAAGAAGCTGCAATTTTCTGTTCTCTTCATTTTTTATTTTGTGCCTGTGAAAATTTCGCACTCTTTAATTGATAAATTTATTGTTATTAGTTAGCTGTCTTATGCGCACTGCACATGCGCACAATTATTTATTGGTGGTGATAAAAATATATAGTTATTAGTTAGTTGTCTTAAGCATACTGCACATGCGCACAATTATTTATTGGTGGTGATAAAAATTTATAGTTATTAGTTAGTTGTCTTAAGCACACTGCACAGACGCTCAATTATTTATTGGTGGTGATAGATTTATACTTATTAGTTAGTTGTCTTATGCACATTGTACGCGCGCTCAAATATTTGTTGGTGGTGATAAATTTATAGTTATTGGTTAGTTGTCTGCACAATGCACAGGGGCACAATTATATTAGCTATAGATTTTGAAAACATCGTGTTAAAATTTCGCACTCTTGTAATTCTTTTTTTGCGCGTGTGATACTCAAGGGCCTCACATTCGAAAGTTCGCTTAGGGCCTCTCAAAATATTTGGAATCTCAGGGCCGGCCCTGTCTTCTCACGTTCAAATTTGAAATTTCTCACACCAAGGCATTTTTTTTTATGAAAAGAAAGAAAAATCTCACACGGTCGAATTCAAAATTCTCACTCCAAAACATTTTCTTTTTGGTAAAAGAAAATTTCTTCACGTTCGAATTCGGAGTTTCTCACTCCAAATAATTTTCTTTAATTATGTTAAAAAAGAAGAAGAAGAAGAAGAATCTTCCTGACCCATGATTGTGAACCCACTCTTAATTGTAATGTGAAAGAAAAATGCACAAACACAATTGGTTAAGTGGAAATTTTTTTTTATTATTGTGAATCCACTATTAAAAAGCAAACTCACAAATTTAACAAAATCCTGATAGACGTGCATGCCCACGTTCTAAATAGAGTCATTATCATCAATATCAAAAGTCAAAACGCAACAAAGTTATCAAATGCATTTTGATGTTTTGTTTACGCTACTCGCAACACAAAACACTCAAAAATCTGCAAAACAAATTTTGAATGAAAGTGAAAACGTTTGCCCAAATGAGGCCTTACTATCGTCTTTTAATTTCTTACCATGTGCCACTATTATAAATGGTAGAGAGAGAAGTTTCATAGAGGTGTAATTGAAATCCAAAGTGAACTTTTTAATTTTTAGAATAGGAACCAAAACCGTTTTATTATAAAACCGGATAAAATCGTACGGTTCGATCTGATTTAACGGTTCGACGATGAAGAGTCTGTATAGAAGTCAGAGATAGTGACACGTTGCCCTAGTTTTTATTCCCGCCTTCCCCCATTCAACTGAGATCATCTCATTGTTGTTAAAACTTGAATCATCATCGACTCATTGTAGAACATTTTCTTCCTATTTTCATTTTTTTTAATTATTCATCATTGCATATTTTTCTGCTAAAATTTGATTGATGGGTGTCTAAAAAACCCCTAAATTAACACTAAAAGTCGAAATTAATTGCCTTTTTATTCGGGTTGTTAAGGTTCTGGTCAATCGATGCAGTTTTTGTTGATGCAGTATCGAACATACTGCTCAAGTATAGCGATTTCAGCTAATTCTCAGATAGCTAGGTTTGCACGTATTGGCCAAATCGAAAATGCACGAAAAGTGTTTGATCAAATGCCCCATAAGAGTATTGTTTCTTGGAATTCCATCATTGCTGGGTACTTTCAGAATCATCAACCGAATGAAGCCCGGTTTCTGTTTGATAGAATGCCTGAAAGAAACACTGTTTCTTGGAATGGGCTGATTTCAGGGTATGTCAAGAATAAAATGCTAAAGGAGGCTCGGAAAGTATTTGATAGGATGCCAGAGCGGAATGTTGTTTCGTGGACTGCGCTGGTAAGAGGGCATGTTGAAGAGGGGTTGATTTCAGAGGCGGAATCACTTTTTTGGCAAATGCCTGAGAGGAATGTTGTATCGTGGACGGTGATGCTGGGTGGCCTAATTCAAGGCCGTCGAATTGATGAGGCTCGCCGACTTTTTGATATGATGCCGGTGAAGGATGTAGTTGCTCAGACTAGTATGATAAATGGGTATTGTCAAGAAGGTCGTATGCCTGAAGCACGTGAGGTTTTTGATGCTATGCCTTGTCGAAATGTTTTTTCTTGGACTGCTATGGTTTCTGGTTATGCACAGAATCAGCAGGTGGATATTGCTAGGAAGCTTTTTGAAGTAATGCCAGAGAAGAATGAGGTGTCATGGACAGCTATGCTGATGGGTTACACTCGATGTGGACGGATTGAAGAGGCCTGGGAACTTTTTGAGGCAATGCCCATGAAGTCAGTTGTATCTTATAACACAATGATACTTGCTTTTGGCCAGAATGGGGAGGTTGCTAAAGCAAGGCAGCTTTTTGATCAGATGAAGGAGAAGGATGATGGGACTTGGAGTACGATGATTAAGGTTTATGAACGGAAAGGGTTTGAACTGGAAGCACTTAATTTGTTTGCTTTGATGCAAAGACAAGGAGTTCGGCTGAATTTCCCGTCTTTTATAAGTGTTCTTTCTGTTTGTGCCAGCCTGGCCAGTCTTGACCATGGTAGACAGGTTCATGCCCAGTTGATCAGATCCCAGTTCGTGTCTGATGTGTACGTTGCCTCAGTTTTGATCACAATGTATATTAAATGCGGTGATCTTGTTAAGGGGAAAGAGGTGTTCGATAGATTTTCTCCTAAGGATATTGTTATGTGGAACTCTATTATCACAGGCTACGCTCAACATGGCTTTGGAGAGAAAGCTTTACAAGTATTCTATGAAATGTGTTCTTTAGGTGTTGCAGCAGATGATGTTACTTTTATTGGAGTTCTCTCAGCTTGTGGGTACACTGGAAAAGTAAAAGAAGGGCTTAAACTTTTCGAGTCCATGAAATCCAAGTATCTAGTGGAACCAACAACTGAACATTATGCTTGTATGGTTGATCTGCTTGGCCGAGCAGGCCAAGTAAATGAAGCAATGAATTTAATTAAAGAGATGCCAGTGGGAGCAGATGCTATTGTTTGGGGTTCTTTATTGGGTGCCTGTAGAACCCACATGAACTTGGATTTGGCTGAAGTTGCAGCAAAGAAACTTTTACAACTTGAGCCCAAAAATGCTGGGCCTTATATCTTGCTATCAAATATGTATGCGTCAAAAGGTAGATGGGCTGATGTTGCAGAGCTGAGGAAAAACATGAGGTCAAGACAGGTGATCAAATCACCTGGTTGTAGCTGGATTGAGGTGGAGAAGAAAGTCCATATGTTCACAGGAGGAGATAACATGCCCCACCCTGAGCATTCACTGATCACAAGGCTGCTGGAGAAATTAGGTGGGCCATTAAGAGAAGCTGGGTATTGTCCTGATGGTAGCTTTGTGCTGCATGATGTAGATGAAGAAGAGAAGGTGCATAGCTTGCAGCATCATAGCGAGAAACTGGCTGTGGGATATGGACTTTTGAAAGTGCCTGAAGGAATGCCTATTCGTGTAATGAAGAACCTTCGGGTTTGTGGGGATTGCCATTCTGCAATTAAGTTAATTGCAAAGATCACAGGGCGAGAAATCATATTGAGGGATGCTAATAGATTCCACCACTTTAAAGACGGCTTGTGTTCTTGCAGGGACTATTGGTGATTACACTGGACCTGATGTTCACCAATTGATTTAAGGTCAGCTTATGGTCTTATGATAATGAGAATATATATGCATACTTGACAGGTCCCCATATTAAATCTTCTGAGGCCAGATAGTTATATTAATTGCTTTGAACTGTTCTAAATCACTGTTACTTATAAAAGGATGTTTGGAGGGGCTATGATGTTAATATCTTAAATCTGTATTGTAATCCTAATAATATGTTGGTTATAGAGTTTTCTTATATGGAGTAATTACAAAGTAATGCTGTCAGCAAGGATCTTCTTTTTTGGACGTGCATTAGTATTAATATTTCTTGAACGATGTCATCGTTAAGTTTATGGGTGATGTTTATACTTCATCAAACTATACAGAATAGTTCCTAATCAAAATCATTTGTGTATTGTATTAATTTTACGTTAAATTTTCGTTTCGTTTGCATTTTCTCAGCAACCAAGCAGGGCGCCAGGGCGTATCTGAAATTCTCATCTCTCTATGTGTTTCGCTAATTGGATTGATGTCAATGTGACAGGGAAAACCTCAATTCTGAAGATATTGGGAGGGAAGCACATGGTGGAGCCAGATATGGTTTGTGTGCTCAGAAGATCGGCTTTCCATGACACCAATCTCATGTCTTCCGGTGATCTCTTTTATCTTGGTGGCGAGGTTTGTATTTTTTTGTTTTATATCACTTAATTCTATGAATTATATACATTATTTATTGGTATGTATTTTTGAATAGCTGTTTGATAATTGGTTTTTCTGCTAGAAATTGGAAAATATCAGTTGGATGTTTCTGTTGTTAGCTGTCTAATTCTTTGATAGCAAACAGAAGGTTGAACTTATGTAAGGTTATCAGTTGCTTATGCATTTGTTTTCAAGTTGCAAATGTATGATTTCCTGTTTCAGTGATGAATATTCAGCTGGAAGATCCAAATTATTTATTTCCAATTTTTTTTGGGCCTTTCTCATCCAAAATCTTATATAATTGATCCAAATTATGAGCCTTAATCATGAAAAAGAAGTATTAAAGTGGTCAAAATTTCTATGTTTTATTTCATCTGAAATTTTCTAAATATAGCTTTTTTCTTTCTTTTTTTAATGGGCCATTAGCCCTAACTATAACCTCTCCTCCCTCAAAGGGGAGGTGAGGTGAGAGGTTCGAGCCCTATCGTGGGCAATTTGTGAAATGTGTGTGTGAGTACTTACCTAACAAAAAAAAAAAAAAAAAAAAACCCCTTTTTTTGAGGTGCTGGCTTCTTTTTTGGGGTTCCTGATTTTCCCTGAATCAAATCTAATTTTACAATGTTTGGCGATTTTAAGTTGCAGTCAGTTATGTATGTTGGCTGACAAAACTTTTGGAATTTCATCGGGTCATCTATGGCTTCAAAAATATAAGTAACAACCAAGTAATATCTAATTGTGAAAATTTTTAATTTTCAATTCCAGTGGAGGAGAGAAGTGGCTTTTGCTGGTTTTGAGGTTCCAATACAAACGGATGTTTCTGCTGAGAAAATGATATTTGGAGTAGCATGAAGTAATCCTCAAAGAAGAGCTGAACTTATCAAGGTAAGATGCCAAAGTCTTTCTTGTGAGAGTCTTTGACTTTATTAGCATAATTTTATATGTTGTGTGCACGTGGTTCGAGTGATAAAACATGATAAACTATTTATTAGAAAATTAGTAAACTTGTAAATAAAGATTCCAGAATGAAAAATTCATCTCTACACCGAGTTTGGGCTAATTGAACTAATTTTCGTTAATGGAAATTTAGTTCCTAATATGCAACGTTCAACTCAATTCAACTTAATTTGTACCAATTATGGAGTCATACATGAATCTTGGTTCATTTTTTTTTTGCTCCATCTGAGGTCACAACTTTTATTTTAACCACATGTTATCATTTATTTCACTATCTCAGTTCATGTTAATATTGGTCTTCCTCTTCGCCTAATGTGATCCTCTTCACACACCATGTCACTCTTCTTCGTTAGTGTTGTTAGTTTTGTCTACATAACCAAACCATGTTAATGGTTTTTTTCACGTTATTTCCAATGGTGCTACTTCAATGGTTTTACAAATGCAAGACTCCAAGTTCCTATGGCAGATCACGAGATTCATATCTAATTCTACTTTTTATTTTTATGATCTTATCATACTTCTATCTCTGCATCCTTAGTTTGAAGAAGTTGGTTCTTAGGGACCCAATATTTTGTTTCATGAAGTACGGATCCTCATATCTATTTTAAAGAAATTACCTTCAATTTTAGAGGTGTCCGATGATCACTCAAGAAACACTTCACCATCTAATACATCACACTTTGATTCTATGAGCAATATCACCTTCAACACTCTATCTTTGTGACTATTATAAAGTTTTTGCTTTTAAATTTCTTGACTCAATTTTTACTACATATGTATTTTCATTTCACATATTATGTTCTCATTCTAGTTATCTTAAGCCTCTTAATTATAGTCTCTTCACATTTCTAATTTGGCATTTATCCCTACTTAGTTTGACATCAAAATAATATCATCATCAAATATCATATAGCATGTCCACTTTTGTATAAGGGACGCGTTCCCCTTTTGACCGCCTTTTTATTCAACTATTACTTATCAAAACAAAAAAAAAAATCATATAGCATGGATTTTCACGCTAAATCTGTCTTATCAGTCCATTTATAATTAAGTGCTGAACTTTATGTAAGCCTATAAGCTATAGTAACTAAAATGTCACTTCTTATATTATAGCCTTCCATATTGTAGTCATGCTTCCATCATACATGTTTACCTATATATTTTCCAGAATTGTACTCTAATATACTCGTCTAGTCCTACTTAGAGTGCATAAATATTAATGAACATATAAATTGGTGTTCTGTTTTTCATGCAGAACTGCCAAAAGGCTAGGGAAAATTGGAACAAAGTTTGGTGCGACGTCATTCTGTATATGGATTGTTCAAAATGGTCAAGGAGTAGAAAATTTTAGATAAATTTCAAAAACAATAATTTTTAACTAACTACGGGTTAATTGCATTCTTTAGGATGGTAAAGAGAAGTTAAGAGTAATGGTTCTTTCCTCTGTGTGTACATCTTTGAAAAAGTGACTATTAAATTTGTGGGCATCGTCATGTCTCAACCTTTAGGCCTAGGCAATATGTTGTTTCTCAAGTTATAATCAAATTACTCCATTACTCAATAATGTAGGTGCTAGATATTGATCTATCTTGGAGAATGCACAAGGTATCTGATGGTCAGAGAAGACGAGTGCAGATCTGTATGGGTCTGCTAAAGCCATTCAAGGTATCTTCATCTGTTGCATGACATTTAGGTTTTCAGATGTAAATGTTTACATTTCAACCTTTCTTGGCTAAATTCTTGAGATCTTCTTTTCATCCAAAGTTGCACTTCTTTTTGTCTAGGTTCTTCTTCTTGATGAGTTTACGGTTGACCTTGATGTGCTGGCAAGGGCTGACCTTCTGAAGTTTCTCAGAAAGGAATGTGAAGAGCGAGGTGCTACAATTATCTATGCTACACATATCTTCGATGGTCTTGATGATTCGCCATCACATATTGTATGTAACAAATCCATTTTTTGTCCATGTTTCATATCTAAATTTCTGTTTTTGTTTTTTTTATTCTACTTAGTTCTAAAAATCATTATGTTGTTTCCAGGTTTATGTGGCTCACGGGAAGTTGCAATTAGCAATGCCAATGGACAAAATTAAGGAGAATACCAATTTGTCACTAATGGTCAGTTTCCGCAGTCTTTTAAACACAAAAATCCTCCAACTATAGCACCTCCAGTCAGTTTGGTGTTCTTTAATATTGTTGGATTTAAATTTACGCAACCAAAAATATGGATATGGTGTAATATCATTATTGGCAAGTGAGGTTTCTCTTGATTTAGTCTTCCACTTGAAATTTTTCTTTGAATTTTCATTATAATTATTTTGTTGAAGTTTGTACCAACTTGTTGGGTCTATGTATTGTTTATGCCTTGTGGGAATGGATTTGCAGAGAACTGTTGAGAGTTGGCTGAGGAAAGAAAGAGATGAGGAGAGTAAAAGAAGGAAAGAGAGGAAGGCAAACGGTCTTTCAGATTTTGAAAAACAAGTTGAGGGCAGTCGTGTGACTGGGTTCCAGCCCAAGCTGCCGTCCGTGCATTGAACAATGGTTGGGCTGCAGGGTGGCTGCATTCCACCATTGGTGGTGAAGAAAATTTTGTCCTGAGCTCAAACAGAGTTCTGAGGCAGTAGTTTTATTTCTACTAATAACAAGAACCTCCAAAAGTTGAGGTGGCCTAAGTGGAACAAGGTTCATATTTCCTCCTATTGCTCCTTCATTTTTATTTAGTAGTTAGGGCTGCAAATGAACCGAGCTGTTCATAAACAGTTTCGGCTCGGCTCAGGCTCGTTCGTTTAGTAAACGAGCCGAGCTTGAACACAGTTTTTAGGCTTGTTAGGCTCGTGAACAGGCTCGTTTAGTAAAATGTTAATTAATTTATTTTTTAAAAATCTTCTATACAATTTTTTTAGCCCATATAATATAAATTCAGCCCAACTTGATTCTTCTTTAAGCCCAAAATGTTTCAACTTAAGCCCAAGTCCACTTAACTTGTTTACCCTATCATCACACACATATATATATATTATGTATGTATCAGCCGTTGATTCCATTTGAGATAAAATCCCTAACAAATCTCGCAGCCCCAACATATCTGGCAGTGCAACTTTCAGTTTCAACAAAGCGTCCTTCTTCCTCTCTTACTGGTCTCAATTCAACACATCTTCCTCTTGCTCATCAATGACGGTATTCATAGATCTCTGTCTCTCAAATCTCTTTCTTGGGTTTCTTTTCTCAAATCTGTTTTTCTTTCTCTTACGAGTCTCAATCTCATTTTAGTGTTGATGGGATCAGAGGAAGATGCGCCGAGCTTGAGCCAGGCTTGCACGATCCCGAGCCCAAGCACACTCCTGGCACTGGCGAGCCGAGCCCAAACATGGTAAAGCTCGGCTCAGCTCGGCTCATTTGCAGCACTAAGTAGTCTATACTTTCACACGCTCGCACACAAAAAGAAAAAGGAGTCTCATAGATTGGTTCATGATTGAGTATTGTGCTTTCCTTCTTTATCAATTTGTAATTCATATATATCTTCTCCCTAATGTTAAGTTGTTGTTTTGCATCTATAATAACAGAGAAAATTCATTATTTTTTTCCCACATTTTTTGCATAATACTTGTATGAGAAACGAAGACGCTGTTTAGGCTCTTATGAATTGGAATGAGAATAAAATTCCTAATGTAATTTTGTGTATGCTTCAAAAGTATAATTGTCTTGTATTTGCAAATATTTTCTGGGTTTTCTCGACTATTTTGGAGGTATTTACTGTTACGCAAATGATAGTTGGGAAAATGCTTTGTTGAGTACAAACAATAAGTTGCATCAATACCACTCATCCAACATTTATAAGTTGCAGATTGGAAGGTCCTCAGAGCCTTACAATTCAAACCCCTTTAACAACTAAACATAGCACTACGAAGTGATCTGCCAGCCAAATCTTCTGGAGTCGCATGGATTTCTGATTGTTTGTAAAATCTTTGACAGTAAACTGGATAGATCATTGTGGCAATGGGTAACGAAATTTGTGGCTCAATTATTGCCATTACTGTCTTGTGTTATGGATTCTTGTGCCACATGATCTGGATGGGAAGGGTCTTGGGTATATAAGGATGAGCATTAACACCACTTGGCAAACGATTAATCGTTTGGGTTGAATTGTGTCCGTGACAAATGGTATCAGGCCAGACGCTCACACCCAGTCTCCCGGTTGTTACCCGGTCCATTGACCGGGTCCCAATGATGGGTTTAACAATAGGTTCTTGCCCACCGGTCCCAATGATGGGTTTAACAATAGGTTCTTGCCTTGTAGAGGGCTGGTCTTGATCGTTATTAGGTCGAAGCTATGTGTTCTTACCTTACATTGGATCGGGGTCCCAATGAGTTTTTGTCTCACATCGGATTCAGTTGGAAACAATGGGTCTGCGAGGTTCCGAAAAGAAAATACTTATAGATCAAGTTAGAATTGCGTGGCAACCATAGAATTTAGCCATTAATGAGAATGCATAAATTGTCTATATATAGGAAAGTTTATGAGTGAGTGGAAGAAACTACTCCATACTATCTAAGAACACTCCTCAAGTATTTATCAACTCTACAATCAACTTACTCCGAATGTCCTAGAATTTTCCATTGCTCTCGACACATTAACCGGCCAAAAAATAATCCACTAAAGCGATAAACATTGTTTGATTTTAGATTCAATATACAGAAGTAATACATATCGAATTGATGAGGCTCGCCGACTTTTTGATATGATGCCGGTGAAGGATGTAGTTGCTCGGACTAGTATGATAAATGGGTATTGTCAAGAAGGTCGTATGCCTGAAGCACGTGAGATTTTTGATGAGATGCCTTGTCGAAATGTTTTTTCTTGGACTGCAATGGTTTCTGGTTATGCACAGAATCAGCAGGTGGATATTGCTAGGAAGCTTTTTGAAGTAATGCCAGAGAAGAATGAGGTGTCATGGACAGCTATGCTGATGGGTTACACTTGATGTGGACGGATTGAAGAGGCCTGGGAACTTTTTGAGGCAATGCCCATGAAGTCAGTTGTATCTTATAACACAATGATACTTGCTTTTGGCCAGAATGGGGAGGTTGCTAAAGCAAGGCAGCTTTTTGATCAGATGAAGGAGAAGGATGATGGGACTTGGAGTACGATGATTAAGGTTTATGAACGGAAAGGGTTTGAACTGGAAGCACTTAATTTGTTTGCTTTGATGCAAAGACAAGGAGTTCGGCTGAATTTCCCGTCTTTTATAAGTGTTCTTTCTGTTTGTGCCAGCCTGACCAGTCTTGACCATGGTAGACAGGTTCATGCCCAGTTGATCAGATCCCAGTTCGTGTCTGATGTGTACGTTGCCTCAGTTTTGATCACAATGTATATGGTTGATCTGCTTGGCCGAGCAGGCCAAGTAAATGAAGCAATGAATTTAATTAAAGAGATGCCAGTGGAAGCAGATGCTATTGTTTGGAGTTCTTTATTGGGTGCCTATAGAACCCACATGAACTTGGATTTGGCTGAAGTTGCAGCGTAGAAACTTTTACAATTTTAGCCCAAAAATGCTGGGCCTTATATCTTGCTATCAAATATGTATGCGTCAAATGGTAGGTGGGCCGATGTTGCAGAGCTGAGGAAAAACATGAGGTCTAGACAGGTGATCAAATCACCTGGTTGTAGCTGGATTGAGGTGGAGAAGAAAGTCCATATGTTCACAGGAGGAGGATAACATGCCCCACCCTGAGCATTCACTGATCACAAGGCTGCTGGTGAAATTAGGTGGGCCATTGAAAGTGCCCGAAGGATGAAGAACCTGCCACTAGATGAATCACCAATCATTCGTGTTCTTTATTCGTGTAATGAAGAGTTTGTGGGGATTGCCATTCTGCAATTAAGTTAATTGCAAAGATCACAGGGCGAGAAATCATATTGAGGGATGGTAATAGGTTCCACCACTTTAAAGACGGCTTGTGTTCTTGCAGTGACTATTGGTGATTACACTGGACCTGATGTTCACCAGTTGATTTAAGGTCAGCTTATGGTCTTAAGATATAATGAGAATGTATATGCATACTTGACAGGTCCCCATATTAAATTTTCTGAGGCCAGATAGTTATATTAATTGCTTTGAACTGTTCTAAATCACTGCTACTTATAAAAGGATGTTTGGAGGGGTCACTGATGTTAATATTTTAAATCTGTATTCTAATCCTAATAATATGTTGGTTATAGACTTTTCTTTTATGGAGTAACTACAAAGTAATGCTGTCAGCAAGGATCTTCTTTATTGGAGATACATTAGTGTTAATATTTCTTGAACGATGTCTTCGATAAGTTTATGGGTGATGTCTATCCTTCATCAAACTATGCAGAATAGTTCTAATCAAAATCATATGCGTGTTGTGTTTCTCTTTGTCTTAATTTTAGTTTGTTACTTTGGGGAGAAATTTTTTTTTATATGCACTACTATATCCTACTTAGGGATGGCAATAGGAACGGGTTTGGGCGGGTGTATCCTCCCCCGCCCAGCAATAGTTAAAAACCCTGTCTTCGTCTCCGCCCAAAACCGCCAAAATGGGAGAAGTTTTCACCATATCCCTGTAACCGTTTAACATTTTTACCCCAGCGGGTACCTGCCTCGCTCCGTTTAAGACCATAATTTATTTATTGTTGAAATAGATTTGCTCTTTTTTTTTTTTTTTTTTTTTTTCATCTTCAATTCTTCACCATTTCAACTTTTCTTTTAATCAAATTAATTTCTTACTTTAATATTGTTATATGAGGTACTTAATATATAGTGAAAAATATATATATACTAATAAAATAAGGGTGCTTAAGTAATTAGCCTATCTAAACGGTGCGGGGCGATATCCCCTGCCCTTGCACCAAACCCACACGGATTTTTAT